GAAGAAGAAAAATGAAAAATGAGAATAAAATCGTCGATCAGTCACAACTATTCATTTCAATCAATGAAATTTCCAACGGACACGACTGGTCGTTTCAATTAATTAATTAATTAATTAACTTGTCAAATTAATTCAACAGAAAACGTCAATGAATGACAATAATTAGTGGCCCTTTCTTTGACAATAATAAAAGGAAAAACGCGAAAGAAAAGAAATTCCAAAATATGTGAATAAAAAATCAGTGCAGTTCTGTTCAGTTAATTAATTAAGGGGGATAAATTGCTAATTGGTAGCCACGGGGATATTCATGTATCTCGAGAGTGGGCGAACAAGCTGAAAGTCATGAGCTCTGAGGAAACTTTAATGTCTAAACAAATTCGTGGCGATGGTTAAGCAACTCTAAATCAAATTAAACACCAAAAAAATTAATGATTAAAATTAGAAATGATTATAGGGATATCATTAGCGAGGGAGTTCTGATACGGGAGGTGATGATTCATTGAACACCGAGTAGCTGTTAGAAAGGGAATTCAGAAATAACACATTGATAAATGAAGTGGTGGAACGTGACAGAACCGTTGATTTTTCATTGAAATTTTCTTTTGAACGAGTGATTTTTGAAAAAAATGACAAAAAAAAATTTTGTAGAGAACTTCTTCAGTTGTAAAAGAGAATTTTCTGACATTTTTCGACAAACCCAATATTTTTTAAGATATTTGGAAGAGCATCTGTATAGAATCTTTCGAAATTGAAATAAAAGTCAAAAGATAAACACATGTTGGTTTTTCTTTAAAATTTTCTCGTCAACAAGGGATTTTTGAAAAAAATGTTGGAAGACATTTTTTGTGGAGAATTTCCCCAGCTTCGAAAAAAGCTTTTTGACATTTTTCGCTAAACCCAATATTTTTGGAGATATTTGCAAAAGAATTTGTATAGAATGTTTTGAAATCGAAATAAAGTTGCATTTCAGGCCGGGCGCCATTATCTGCCGAATGTTATCTGCTTTTTTTATTCGATTTTTATCTCGAAATTTCAACTCGACGCCCGTCACACAGAGACCCCCGAAAATTATGAATTCGGATTGAAAAAAAGTTTTAAAAAATTCTGAATTTTTTGAGAGAGCGTTTTTAGTTAATATTGAGGAATGAGTTCAATACAGAAGATACGAATAATTCATGATTACCGTAACAAATGGCGGCCGTTGTTTTCTCGGGAAATTTGTTTAGCTAAAAATAGGAAAGAATCGTCGAACGGACGGAAAAGCGGTGGCGCGTTCCAGTTCCTGTCGACCCCGCGAGCGCCAGTGTTGCTACATTCACTGCCGCACTTGGAAGGCGCGCGTAGCGATAAGCGTCAAGGTGGCAACAGCGCGCTCGGTTTCACCCAGCGACGCTGCGCTAACCGTGCGGCGGATGAAAACTGGCGGCCGAGCGCGAGTGATCGAGGGTAAAAAACGCTCTTTCAAAGTGTTCAGAATTTTTTAAACTTTTTTTTTCGATCTCAATTAAAAATTTTTGAATGTCCCTGAGTGACGGGGCATCGAGTTAAAATTTCCAGACAAGAATCGACCAAAAAAATGAATTCAGATAACGTTCGGCCGATAATGAAGCCGAAGGCCTTCAAATAAAAAATGCAACATGATATCGAAATTTCATTTTAGAAAATGTTAAAAGACCTTGTCGTAGACCAGAAAATTCTCCGCAAAAATTACCTCAACATTTTTCGCCTCAAAATTCATTTTCTAACGCTTCACCACTCGCCTCCAAAATCCACCGAAAAAAATAACGAAAAATGCAAAAAAATGTGAAAATTGACAATTAAAAAACTATTAGTGAGAAAGCTATCTGATCGCACGCTGAAAGTACCATAAAACCTAATTGTATGTTTGTTGGAATCTTATTAACGAAAGTGATGAAATTAATCCTAAATGAAAATGTGGAAGTGCCGAGTTTAAGTGTTACTAATTACTTAAGACATGATCGCATTGTTGTGTAAGCAAAGTATGTTGTATCACTGCATAATGTACTCAACATTTCGATCGACAGATCTCCTCGCTCCAGAGAAAATGAACAAACTTGAAGCGAGGAAATGGTCAAAATTTTCTTTCTCAACGTCTTATCAGAGAGACATGTCTCTCCTATCTACGAGTGAGAAAAATAATTAGAGGTGATAATGAGGGTGGAGATGACTCCATCGGATGAACTTAGTGCTTTGAATATCCGAATGAAGGGAATATTCAATTGTCATTGTGCTTTGTAAATAAATAAAACAATGAGACTACAATCGGGAACTTTGGATTCTATTCGTATGATCTTTCAGATTCACAGACACATACTTTGGAATCTAGGAGAGATAGCGAGATTCGTGTGGAGACTTTTTTTTAGAAAATTTTATAAGCTACAAAAATGATTTTATCGTATTTTTTTCTAAACCCATTCGTCTTGGAGATATTTGCATAAAGATGAGTATCAATTATTTAAAGTTGTCTTTAAAACGTCTTGAATAACTCCTCCTGCAGTTGATGGTTGAATGTTCGAGACGAGTAGCCAAGGGATTCACATAGGAGTGATTTTTTTAGAAAGTGACACGTGATAATTAACAAATAATTAATTATAGTGATGATTAACGAACAACTTTTGGCACTGCTGTACATAAAGTGATACATTGATACATATTACTTTGGACTCGAGGGAGAATTTTTCAAAGGTGGAGTGAACCGTTGCTTTAAACGCGGAGTAACTAATCTAATGATTTAATTAATAAAAATTGATGATTTGATCAATTTTCGTTTGAGTTGGAGTTTCATTCTGCGTTCTTTGGTCTAAGGAAAATGACGAAAAATGTGAGATATCGTTGACTCTGAATTTTATTCAATGAATAACAGTTTTTAAAAATCGGTAATAGTAACATAACTATTAAGGTTTATTATAAATGTGTTAGAGTAAATAAATTTGAATAAATGAGACGACTATTGTTTTTTTAATTGATCCTGACGCCGATTGCGGGACTTCAATTTTTGCATTTGGAAAAAAAATTTTATTTCGAAAAATTGCCTTTTGATTTTGTATTTAAACTTTTGACATTTTTCTCTAAACTCATTATTTTAACAATATTCACAAAATGATCTGTATAAAAATGTCCATTCGTTTCAGTAGAGCTAATGAAATTTTAAATTTTCACCGATAATTGGATGAAACTCTCCATTTTTAGCAATCAATTGACATCACATCAACCAAAAAGATGAAGATGATGACGAAGATCAAGAATGAAAGATGAAGATGTGAATTTCAATTGATTTTCATCACTTGAAATTCACATCTTTTCGAAAAGAAATACACATGCACATGAAAGTGAATAAAAACCACGAAAGTGTTTAACGGTTTTTCAGGAAGTGAATATAACACAATATAGTATATTTCGTCACTAGGCCGAAAGAAACTTTTCTGGCGAATATGAGTTTGCAGCCCGAGCCTTCGGCTACGACTCGGCCGCCTTCGGCGGCCTCGTCTCCGACTCACGTGCCTCGTGCGCCTGTACTCCACCAGCGTTGAATTCAGCACTTCTCCGCCTTAGCACGTAATATACTATTATTCCACAACCACGAGTTCTTATTTCACGACCCGCACTAAACCGCCACATTTTCTGTCAGTGTAGGTCTATTATTTCGGCCATGACGTCACAAAGTGGCAGAAGTAATGCTGGGTAGCCAGCATTACTTCTACGTTCATCCTTACCTCAGATAAACTTCTTTGATGCAGCAAGAAAACGTCGGCGCTCCGTTCATAATCAACAACAGGGTCGTTGGGCTTTACTTGGGAAAGTCAAAATCCGATAGGAGCATTTTCGCAGACGTAAACAGCTATTTTAACTGGATTATGGATATCACCGGCGTCCCGAAGGAATACATCTAATCAGAGGGGAGTAGAGTGCGAATTATGGAATGGGAGAATAAAGAAGGGTCCACTGTACTGTAAAAGAAGCTTCAGAAATTATTCAAAATGAAGCATATAATTTAAATTTAATATGTTCAGACTCTTTGAGTTTAATTCTTCAATTGAGGGGGAGAAATATAGAGAAATTTTTGAAATTAAGAATAATTGAAATAGGGTTTTTTTCTTTGATCCTTGAATTTTTCCTTACGCAACATATTCTGTTTCTTTTCCCATATTCCTTCAGGGTGTCAAGTGAATTTGAAAAAAGATTCAAAAAAATTTTTTCTTTCCCTCCATCATTGGAGAAATATGTATTTATCTATCCGACGAAATTTCAAACCCGCAACCGGAACTAGACATCGAGAAAATAAATGCGGAAAATCCTCTATTTCGCGTGACGAACCTCGAGAAAGCATGGGATCAAATGGGTACGGCGGGTTGAAATATCTCTCTTATTCACCCCGGTACCCCATTGATTTTGTCGCCATCACATTGAACACATCATTCCCCATATCTTCAAATTTTTTCAAATTTTTCTTGAGTTCCTAGGGGGTTGAAACGTTCAATTTAATCAAAACTCCATAAGAGGCCGTGTATAAGACTGATTTTGTTTATTTAATTTCTCGATATCCATAAGTTCTAAAATTTTAAAATTGTCACCGATGTTCACCATCTGTCTAATACTATTAATTAAAAAAATTATAACTTTGTTGGTGAATGTCAATTTTCAAGGTCATCGCCAAATTCACTTGGCACCCTTAAGCGCCACGAAATAAAAATCTTTATGCAAAATACATGTAATAGCCTTCGGGCTGGAGCTGTACTAACTATTTTTAAGTCCAAGCTCATTGTGGTACTGTTACTCGATGTACTTGATTGTTATATATGTTAATAAAGACCTTTAAAATGTTGAAAAAAAATTAAGAATAAACTGCTTGGATTAAAAAAAAAAATATTAACTTGGAAATTATATGAGACCGATCGTGAAAAAAAAAAACTTTGATCTACTCTACCGACACTGTTTGACCGATCGCAGGTCTTGGTTACTTTAAAAATTCTGAGAAACGTGTTGAGCTTGAGAGTTGTGAGAATTGTGGACAAACCACGGGATAAACATCATCCCTGCGATTGTCACTATTTAGTTTTTACATAATCAATCAATTCCCTTCAAATGTCGACTCCACCAGTTCATGCGGAACGCGACTTGGATTTGAGTAATGCAGGACGTGGAGTGTGGCTTGTTAAAGTGCCTAAATATATTGCTAATAAGTGGGAAAAGGCACCTGGTAACATTGAGGTTGGAAAGCTCAAAATAACAAAGTTAGTATTATTGTTATTTCGTTTTTTTACGCTACAGGGTTCGGTTGATTATAAAAATCGCTTTTTGATACTTTAAAAATTAATCAACTGATTCATTAAAATCACGGCATCTGAATTGTTATCATTTCTCCTGTGATTCATATTTTAAAAAAATACTTTCAAGGAATTATCATTTTAGTGTCATTAACTCAATGATTTTGTTATTCTTATTCATTGACGAATCAATTAAAAGAATTATTTCCTGATAGTATCAAAACTTATCAATTGATTAGATGGAAAAGAATCATTAGTTTTACTGCTATTGTTATTTCTCCTGTGGGTGCAGAATTCTTCAGCTCATTTTCCATAAAATTATTCCATTTTTGGCAGTAAATCGTATTTTTAAACATCACTTTTGGGAAATTTCACTCTATTATCATAATTTTGATTTGTCTTCTTTTTCTATTTCTTTCTAGAAATCCTGGGCATAAAGCAGAAGTGTCCTTGAAATTATCAGAAGCTGTTCTGGCACTCAAGGAGCCAGATGAGGAAGATATACCCAAACAGCACAGACTCGATGTTTCCACAGTTAGCCATCAAACACTAGGAGTTTTTTCCCATGTAGCTGGTGAGATGGTGGACCGCATTGTCTAGTCAATTACTGGTATCTCTCAATTTATTTCGTTTACATGAAACTGAAATTTATCTTCTTCAGGGTCAAATAATTCTGATGCTGTTGTGCCTGAGTCTGAGAAGCTCTACATGGAGGGGAGAATTGTACAGAAATTAGAATGTCGACCAAATGGTAATCTCAAGATAAATAATACTATTATTGGTCTTAACTACATTATTAAGGATATAATATCAAGATACATACTACTATTAAGGGTGCCAAGTGAATTTGGCGATGACCTTGAAAATTGACATTCACCAACAAAGTTATAATTTTTTTAATTAATAGTATTAGGCAGATGGTGAATATCGGTGACAATTTTAAAATTTTAGAACTTATGGATATCGAGAAATTAAATAAACAAAATCAGTCTTATACACGGCCTCTTATGGAGTTTTGATTAAATTGAACGTTTCAACCCCCTAGGAACTCAAGAAAAATTTGAAAAAATTTGAAGATATGGGGAATGATGTGTTCAATGTGATGGCGACAAAAAACAATGGGGTACCGGGGTGAATAAGAGAGATATTTCAACCCGCCGTACCCATTTCATCCCATGCATTTATTTTCTCGATGTCTAGTTCCGGTTGCGGATTTGAAATTTCGTCGGATGGATGAATACATATTTCTCCAATGATGGAGGGAAAGAAAAAATTTTTTTAAAATCTTTTTTCAAATTCACTTGGCACTCTTAAGGATAGTAGTTTCGCCATTTGTTTGAAAACGGTCGTAAGAGAAATGATTCTATCAAACTTTGAAGTTCTAAATTAGCTTTTGCATTTTGAACCGTTAGGAAACATTAAAAAAATCCGGAAAAAAACTGAGGTCATCTTTTGAGAAAAATCATTAAGTGATGGAAATTGTTGATGATTACAGCTTTTTTATAAGAAATTGATTCGATGTTAAAAATTGCAATTTCCAAAATTAAAACAATCCCCATTATTTATTTCAAAGAGAGGCATTAGGAAAACAAGGTCTTGAAAATGTGATTTGAGTGAATTTCTTGTAATTTTTTTCATGGAGATTAATTGAAAAATTTGCTGAGTGAAAATGTGCAAGAGGTAGTTTAACATTCCGAAGCTTTCTTTCAATTTTGTGGATGATTATTCACTAATCTTCCAAGTGATTGCTTCACATTGTTCCCGAGATTGAAATGTAATAGATTTTTCAAGCACTCTGATATTTTCCTAACGAGGTAAAATTATTTTCAGCTGATAATTGTTACATGAACCTCAAGAAAGAAAGTATAAAACGTGCCTCAGTCCCTGTGAGACAGATCCAGCAGCTGGACAGGGTTGTGCAGAACTTCAAGCCAGTTTCTGATCACAAACACAATGTAACTATCTCCAAACACCTTCTACATTACTCCCTCACTGGGAATATTCACATTTGCGAAATTATTATGCCCTCAGATCGAGTATGCAGAGAAGAAGAAGGCGGAGGGCAAGAAGATGAGGGACGACAAGGACGCTGTGATGGACATGCTCTTCGCTGCATTCGAGAAGCATCAGTACTACAATATCAAAGACTTGGTTAAAATTACGAGACAGCCGATCGTGAGTATTTTCTCACAAATTGTACAAATAACCTTTGCTAATTAATTGTGGTTTCTCTCTGACTCAAAATTGAACTGGAGCAGCATTTTGAAGAACACATGGCGAAGGCTAATGCCCCCAGCGCACCGCTTACACTGTTGTATTTAATTAAGAAATAATTCAGGATAAATCGAAGGGCGTATTTATTGACAGTTCTTCAGAATCAATCATAGAACAAAAGTGGATCACGCATGAAGTTATTTCCAAACATTAAAAAATGACAATCAACTTTCTTCTTATTTTACAAAAGAAGGGAGGAGGATAGATTAAAGTAGCTCTACCCTTACGGCAAATTCAAAGATTATTGAAAACTGCAAAAAAATTGCAGAAAACTCGATTAGATTCGGAATTCTAATTTTTGCTCAATTTAATTATCGTTTTGGTTTTTTAAAGAAGAAAAGTTTAAAAATCAGGATTTACCCCAGTGTCTTATGTGAAAATCGACATTTCCATTGCAATCAAAGTTAAAAATCTGAATTTTTGTTCATTAGATGTGAAAAAATCAAGAATTTTTTTGACACCTCATAAAAAAGAATCCACCGTTTTGCAAACAAGTTTTATTATTTATTTATAAGAGGGAAATGTTTGAAAAAATATCAATATTTTGCGAAATTTAATTTAGATAATACTGACTGGGTATGAATTTTGTCAAATTTTTTCCATGCAATTTAGTTGAACAATTTGGAAACTGAAAATATCCAAAAGTACAGCGTAGTCCGGCCGAAGGGTAGAGCTACTTTAAATCATTCGGCTTTTCTTCATATTATAAGAGGGGACTATAAATGTCGATTTTCTGGGTTTTTATTATTACTTGGAGAATTCATTTTTTTTCTGTTTACGTCTAACCCCAGACAGAGAAAATAATAGAAAAAGAAAGTTGAGCTCGGACTGATGTGTCATAAAGTTGTTTTCGTATAGAACTTAAATGATTGGAATTAAACGGGTTTAGTAGTAAATTCATAATAAATTTGGGGTTGGGAATAGGTTTTGTGCTCAATTTATTTATGTTCAGTTGTCTGTGTGATAAATTGACGTGTTGAGATCAAATTACTATGCGGTAATTAGTTCTGTCACGTAAATTAGACATTTTCACATCCGATTTTATTTACATAATCAAAAATCTAATGATACAAAATTGACCAAACAGTCCATCACATCTGAATCTCATAAAAAATCCCTATAAAACTCTGATGTCAGTATAAATAGCATCAATTCTCAAAAACTTCTTCGAATCCCTTCATTCATAGTTTCTATCTACAATTTGAAAAATCACTTTGCACACAGGTGTACCTCAAGGAAATACTCAACGAGGTGTGCAATTACAATCTGAAGAATCCCCACAGGAATACGTGGGAGTTGAAGCCAGAGTATCGTCATTACAAAGTCGACAAGCCAGTGGAGGCAACTCCCAAAGAGGCCTCAGACGACTCCAGCTAGTCCTTCGTATTTTTCCTCACCATTTCGGGAGTTTTTTCGTGGGGGGAACCCCCCAGTGGAAGCTCGTGATGTTAATAGGCATTTTTATATTACTTAATTAATTAACTAATTAATTAAAAGCTGACTAAAACTATTTTCTCAGGGATTTGTGGTAAATTTAATAGTTCGGTTTCGTCAGACGTTGGCGAAACCTTCGAACAGGAGAGTTCTCGCGTCTTTGGTCACGATATTTAAGCTCAATTTCTCGTTCGCTTTGACGAATAGGACAGAGCCTGTGGAGTAGATCTGAGAGTTCACCTCCACTGAGCCTTCGATTATTATCAGTATTCCAGCTGAGTTTCTTGGAGGGAGGTCGTACGATGTTGTGCCAGGAGGAAGCTGTGAAAGAATAATATTTGTGAGAAGATTTTTCTATGTCAGTATTCAACGAGAGATTCAATAAATTGATTTTTTTATTGGAGGGTTTTTAATGGTGGAATAGACATTAAGACTGAGGCGAGAAAGATTTAGGGGAAGTTTTCAACTGCTTAGGGGGCTGGTGAATAGGAAAATTAAGAATCAAAATGACATGTGTTCTCATGCCAAAAATTGAATAGAATTTCGCTCATAAAACAGGGGAAATTTCATGGAAATTTTTATCGAGTGACAGCCAATTAATTTCGCTGGAATTCCAAGAAATTTCGTCACTGAAAACCGCCAATTTGATTAAAAAATCGAGGGGTAAATTCAGGTAAATTCAAGTAAGTTTCAGTCCAATTATTTCATAAAAATTAATAGACAAGGAGTATATTCAGCTCAATATACTTTTGAATTCTCAATTAATTGAGAATTCAATTAAAGTGAGTTAGTAAGTCTTCAAAAAATAGGGGAAATTATTGTTTTTTTTCTATTAAACATTTTTTGCTGAAATTTCGAATACAAAATTTTTTGGAAATTTTTATCAAGTGATTCCATTGGAGTTCCAAGAAATTTCGTTACTGGAAATTGCTAATTTGATGAAGAAATCGATGTAAAGTGTAAATTTCAGTCCAATTATTTCATAAAAACTGATAGACAGCTGAAAACATTATTCAATATTGAAATTTGCAAGAGAATGATGAGGCCAGTTGATTTACCTCAATTTTAGCAACAGCAAAGTCCTTGATCGGGGGTCTGAAAACTTCGCAGAATTCGTCCTCTTTGACTGGTTTGTACCTCTTCAACTCTGCAGCTTCACAGTTGTAAGTCAACATCTCGATTAATGTGGGTACGTCCTTTAACTTCGGAGTCAGTCCAGCTCTGACTACATTATCTGAACACGACATGATCTCCATACAGTCTGGAATAAGAAAAAAAATAAGAAGAAAGTAATAAAATTTGAAAGGGCCTGAAGTAGAATGTGACAACAGCATTCTTCAAGTCTCAAATATGAGCAGATCCACGCCAATTCAACAGGACAAAAAAATCGATGCCGAGGATTTCGTCTCGATTTTTTTCTGAAAATATGACGATTGGACAAAAATTTTGAAAAAATAAAAATTGAAGAATATGGATAATTGAGGAAGTTATAATTTTTTGAAAATTGCTAGTTTTTGTCAGGAAAATATTTTTTTTCCAAATTGGCCCCAAACGAATGCAACAATGTCGTTAATAAAAATTTCAAAGAATAAATAAAGACTTGTCATAATAGAAAGAGAGCATAGATTTCCGGAAATTCAACAGAATTTCTGAAAATATGGGGATTGGACAAAAATTTTGAAAAAAGAAAAATTGAAGAATATGGATATTTGAGGAAGTTATAATTTTTGGAAAATTGTTGTTTTTATCAGGAAAATATATTTTTTTCCGCATTGGCCCCAAACGAATGCAACAATATCGTTAATAAAAATTTCAAAGAATAACTAAAAAAAGACTTGTCATAATAGAACGAGTGCATAGATTTCCGGAAATTCAACAGAATTTATGAAAATATGGGGATTGGACAAAAATTTTGAAAAAAGAAAAATTGAAGAATATGGATATTTGAGGAAGTTATAATTTTTGGAAAATTGCTAGTTTTTGTCAGGAAAATATTTTTTTTTTTCCAAATTAGCCCCAAACGAATGCAACAATATCGTTAATAAAAATTTCAAAGAATAACTAAAAAAAGATTTGTCATAATAGAACGAGTGCATAGATTTCCGGAAATTCAACAGAATTTCTGAAAATATGGGGATTGGACAAAAATTTTGAAAAAAGAAAAACTGAAGAATACGGGTATTTGAGGAAGTTATAATTTTTGGAAAATTGCTAGTTTTTATCAAAAAAATTTTTTTTTCTTCCAAATTGGCCCCAATTGTGGAATTATCAAAAATTATCACTTGATACCGTGTTGACTATATAAAACAGCAGTCGAATAGTGCCATTCATTGGCTGAAATTTGAATGAGAAAAATTCTCAACTGAAAAAAGAAATTCTCTTACCACCAGAAATATAAGCATGGGGTTCATTAGCCCCCAGATAAAGCGCCTCGCCAGGTTGAAGAGTAATAAAGTTAAAGAAATAAAGTCCAAAACAGCCGACATCCCCTGGATAATCCGCGTGGAGTTTTTCAATAATACTAGCATTCAATTCCTCTCTACTGGCCTCATCTGCAGGATAAAACTGTATGACAATTATATTTTCGTAACTTCAATGAAAAATTAATGATTCTCATACCCATTTGTGATAATCTATCGATGAAGCTCTTCAATTTCTCGGCTGTCGAGTCGGCGTTGTGAGTGAGGAGCCCCTGCAGGCACCTCTGAAGATGAGCCTTTGCATCAGCCTCGGCAGACCCGATGAAATTGTCGACTGTCTCCTGACCAATCACCATAGACAGCTCAGGGATTTTTTTCAGGAAATGCTGGATCTCAGCGACTGGGCGGAAGCCACACAGGGCCTCGAAGGGCGTCAGTGCTATTGGCATTTCAGGCTTGTGATTCGGGTCTTTGTAGATGTCGGGGTGGAGTTTATGAAGGCTTTCAGCTCTTGCCTGGGATCGAGACAACAATATTTTTTATTCAACAAGTGGATGAACGCAGTTTATAACTGGGTTGGCAATAGGTTTTCCAATGGTTTAAGGGGAGGCCGCACTGGAATTTCGATATCGCAGTTTTAATTAATATAAAAATTCAGCAGGAGTGAACATTTGGAGAGACTGGGGCAAAATTTCCAGGCAAATTAGAAATCCTCAAAATCAGGGGAATCAGAATTTGAAAAATGACAACGTGTATCGATCTCATGCAACCTGCGCTGAGAGACAAACGACAGTTCTCAAACAAGTCTTACTTGTGCCAAGAAAATAGTTTTTTGAAAATTATCAAAAAAGGATTTTTTTGTGCCAAACATGCAGAGAGTGCGCCGGAGTGAAAAATTTTTGTCGCAAAAATAGATTTAGTAGGTAAAAAAAAATTGCATTCTCTGTATACGCAAGAAATATCATTTCTAGCACTACTTCTTCGTTATTCGATACTCTCATACGTATTTTGCTCCCGAAAAATTTTTGTTTTATGCGAAACAAGGGATAGTAGTTTTTCGTTTCGGCTGTCTAATAATCACAGACAACAAATGAACCCTTAAATGAAACAATAATAATGATATGATAGCAATCTTGTAACTTAGGGATAAAATATTTGTTGATAAATTTTCCTCTATATGAGATATTTTCATCCTGAAAAGGCACCACCTGGTGTGAATTATCCGCCTCTTGAGCCAAATATTTCGTTGCTGTCGAAAGCAGAACAATTATTCATGTTTGAGACTTTCAAATTCGAACCAAACAAATTCTTTTTTGGCAATTTTCAACTAGCGATTTTGTTGGCCCAAACAACACTTGTTTGACAACGTGTTTGTTTTTCTCTCAGTGTACCTCAATTGCTGATTAATGAATAATTCGAAATTAGACCTTTTAAATTGATGATTACTTCAATAATTAAAATTTAAGACTGATATTAACTCATTGACAGCGTAATAATTTATTAGTAATTATAATTTATGGATATGGCTATCCCTCAGATCCATCCAGACACATCTGTGTGCTCTGCTGCGGAGAAACATGAGTGTCAACTTCAAATACTGACCAAGGTCAAGAATCTGGCTGAATCACCTGTTCCGAGAGTTTTGGCAAAAACCTCTGTTTGCGAAACTTGTTCGTTGTTACTGCCCGGGACAAGTTCCAAGAGTATCAGAAATATTGTGGAGCCCACGAATGCAAAAATGTCGTTAATAAAAATTTCAAAGAATAACTACAAAAAAACTTGTCATAACAGAACAAGAGCGTAGATTTTCGGAAATTCAACGAGAATAGTACTATTAATATAACACTTGAAGAACTACAAACAAGGTTTATTCGTTCATTTCCGCAAAGCTTTTGCTGTCAAGATTTTTATGATTTAATTTTATTCTTATTTTATCATTTTTTTCAGATCGCGTGTGCAAAAATTTAATATAAAAACTTGGCGCTGTCTCCGAGAAATTCTATTGGAGTTCTATAAGAATTCTGTTGCAAAATTCTATTTATTTATTGTCTTAATTTGATTAAAACTTATGCAACTCTCCTGTCCGTTTTTAAATAGATATTGGTTTATAAAAAAAAGAATTCTTGGAAATGAATATTCCAAGTCTTTTTCATGGATTTTATTATGGAAAAATAATAAAAATACAGTGAAAAAAACTTTGAAATATTATATCCAAGAAGAAAAATAAAAATCTGCTCTTATTCTGTTGAGATATTTTCTATAGAATTCCCTCGGCTGAAAATTTGTTTATTTAATTTTCTCGATGAGAAGAAAAAAAATCGAATAAAAAACTCAAAAAATTTGATCCGAAAAAATTCTATAGAATATTTCCTCTTGAACATTTGAATAGAAAATTCAACTTTAAAAAATCCCAACGTATAAATTTTTGAAATAGTTTTTTGAATATTTTTGCCAAGTTTCGCCTCTCAATAAAAATAAAAAAAGAGGCTCGACAAATTAGGCATTTAATTCTACTCGATTACCTTATCAGGATGAGCCTGAAGGGACAGGGCCTTCCTCACCGACAGGACCTTGAACAGAAAAGGCAGATCATCCCCGAAGCTCTCCCTCACAGCGTCCCCCAAGACCTCCTTGTTCGCCCCTATGAACTCCCCCAGACTCTTTCCAGTTTCCTTGACGAACGAGGGTCCATTCTGGTGGGTCCCCATCCAGAGTTCAGAGTAAGTTTTCTCCTCATCCACCTCAGCATCGGGACTCGATCCCTTCAGTAATCTCGCCACACTGCTCGTCATGCCCTTCATGCCCCAGTCGTAATTCTGGACCGTGTACTTCAGCTCCATTTTGATCGAGAGTAAGAACCTGTCGACAAATATTCAAAGTTGACCAACTTTTTTATTGCACGATAAAAAATGAATTATTAAGGATATCCAAGTACTTTGCCTATTGCTTCCGGAAGCTTTGTAATCGGTCGATTTTTCGATTCTCTAATTTTGCTTGGAAATGACTTAGAATGTCATGAAACCTCGAGATATGATGTTTTTAGAAAATGTCTGTGTGTACGTCTGCATGTGCGTGCAAAATTCTGAGAATTTTTTTATAAATTTTCACAGGAAAAGGACTAAAGTGATGGATAAAAATCTGGAATTTTGGCTCGTAACTGCTATCCTTTGGGAGCACATCTGGGCGAAATTTCAGCTCAATCGTTCCAGTAGTTTTTGAGATACAGCGATTCCGAAAAATTTGTCTTTTCTCAATATCTCGAAAACTACTGCATCAAATGAACTTTTTTGGCGTCAAAATATTCCTTATGATGATATCTATCGAATCGGACCACAATATTATGCCTAGCTCACTATTGCGAGTCGCCCAGTAGTTGACATTTTTCATTTTTGTGATAAAATCGATGTGAACACGATAACGCCTGAAAAAATTGAGATAGGAAGTTGTAATTTGATAGGATTCTAGCTCTTACTATATTACAGGCTGGGATTTCAGATGGGCGGAATCGAATGAGTAGTTTTAAAGATATTCAATTTTTTGTATAAAACTATATTGTTCAATATCTCAAAAACTATTCATCTGATTTCAATTTCTTTTTCAAAATATTCGTCTTGATGTCTCCTATCTAGTTCTTTCAAAATATATATACCCGTTCCTGCAAAGTTCACGAGATATTGGCGCTTTTCTATTTTTTTGTCTGAAAGTTGCTTCGACGTTCCATTACATGAGTGAAGGATGTGGTAAAGTTCTAAAATGTTGAGGACTAGTTAGTATCATCGAGTTGCACTCCTGTGTAAAATTTCAGATTGATCGATTCCATACTTTTTGAAATAGAGCAGTTGATGTAAAAAACGTTTTTCGCATAGAATGACATATCGTTGTTCTATCATTGATTTTCACATGGAAACATTTCTCAAAAATGGGGTCGTGTAGATATGCCTATCCCACTGGATGAAACCGAAATTTAATTCTCAATTTTAGAAGGTCAAACGTTTAGAGAAAATGTTTTCAATAAAAATTGCCACAAATTTCATCTGCCTCAAATTCTGCGATAGTCCTTGGAGTCTCACCGGGGGTCAAAATTGAGTTGAACAGTTTTACCGCTTCGCTACTGATAATGTGTCATGGACTGTGGAAACTTCATGCGCGAGATAACGAACCAGATAAGCTGACGAAACAATGCATATAACCATATTCACAGGAGTAAATCACTCGTATTTAAAAAAATGGAATAGTGCAGAAGCCGAACTTACTTGAGATTTAAATTGTTTTCGCGGTTCACTAGATCCACTCGCCACCGAATGAGATATCACCCCACTCGATTTCTGTACCAGGTTGAGAATGATTTCGTTATTCTCGGAATCCTGAATCTCCGAATCGAGATTCGGTATTGGGCGGCTAGCGACGCCGGAGCGGAAGGGAGGGGGTGTTTTGTTGGGGTGGGGGTGGTAAAATAGGTCTAGATGGCGTTAATTCATTGGAGAGAAGGTGGACCAATGAAAATTGAGGTTTCCTGGGCGGGAGGGGTGAGCGGGAATGCCATTGGCTGGCGAAACACTGAGATTTTGATATTTCCTAGCTTCGTCACGATTCTTTTACATACTAAATGTGGAATTATCTCGGGGTTGAGCGCTTTGACGAAGAAATGTCAGAAGAACTTTCTTGTAGAGAAAACAATTTTTTACAAAAAATGCTCTCAACATTTTCTCATAAAATGGCTCATTATGGAGATAAATGGGAAATTTCAAAGCGAAAATTATCCAGAATCGTTCAAGGAGTCTAAAGGGGATGAGGCAATATGGACATTCGGGGTAAAATATACGTTGAAAAAATTTTCAGTAATCGAAATTTAAAAGATTGCTTCCTGGTAAAGTCCTCGACCGAAAAATTATTCAAGAGTGGGCTAAAATGGACACCCGAAAGAGTCGGTCTCATTCAACTTTTAATCAAGAAGATTTTCAACAGACATTTTCCAACAGAATCGTGTCGCTATCTTTTTACAGAGAGAAATTAGAGTTGGAAGAGATATTAACAAATAAACTTCAACTCTATTAAATTTTGCATTAAAGTTTGAAATACAGAGTAGCTTTGGATTTCCTGTTTTACTATTGAAATAACTGAAATTATTTATTTTTTCAATGAACAATTGCACGCCCTACACAACTGACCTTTGTCCATTTCCGAAATTTGTGAGATGGCTACTTTTCAACTTACAAAGGAAATCCCCATAAAACAATAGGAGGAGGGGAGGATAAATGAGCAAAGAAAAATTTGGTTTACCACCCCCCACGACAAAACTCAAAAATGAGTTTCATTTTCAATGTGAAAATCGCAGTCAAACTAGAGTTTCAGAAATTGAATAACATTGTTGAAACATAAAAAATTGAGGAAGAAATCGAGCTGTCCATTTTACCCCGTTTTTGCTTTGCCTTACAACTCCTACGACGCAGTCTTACGACAATCGCTCGTTTTTACAAACTTCAAGTGAAGTCGGAGCAGTAGATTTGATCCAATTCAACTCATTATTTAAATCTGGCGTCCACATTGCGCCACCCTCTCCTATCTGTCCAATGATCAACAAAAGTTTGAACCCAGGGCTGTCATTGGCTATTCATAAATCACTCAACGACTCGAGTTGCGCTGCAGCAGGCGAGTTTCCGGTCTGTCCTCGTCGGCTTCTTTTCTACGGTTAACGTGACACGGGTAAGTTGTCTCTCCCACTCGCCTCCAATATTTCCCGAATTTCCAAAGGCCTGAGTCAAAATCAAGTGAATCTAGAGTGTTTAATCGGGTCTATTAATTATCTTGCAGGTGTTTTACACAAAACCCAACGCAATGGCTGCCCAAAAGAAACAGGTACGATCAACTTTAATTTCGAAGCCACGTGGTGGCCATGTTTAACCTCTTTCTGACGAGGGAATGGATTTTTTAATGGAGTTGTTATTATTAATTACTGATGGCGTTGGCCCTTTGGGTTTTTAGAAAAAGGCGATGGAGAGCATCAACTCCAGACTTGCTCTCGTCATGAAGTCTGGAAAATACGTGCTGGGGTACAAGCAGACTCTCAAGTCACTTCGTCAGGGAAAGGCCAAGCTCGTCATCATCGCCAATAATACACCCCCACTTAGGTGAGACTGAGATGCAGTTGTCCACGTGTGTTGTACAATTTTTTGGGGATTCACTGGATATTCAGCAAACACTTCGATTACTCCTAATTCAATTGAAAATACAGGTGTTTTCTGTAGAATTTCCTCGGCTCAAATGTTTCAAGTTCCTTTATTTGATTTTCTTGATGAAAAGAAGAAAAATAGGGAGGTCGGGGTAAAACGGACACCTTTGACTTTTTTAAAATGTCAATGAGGGGTTGAAATGTTGAAATTTGATCATTTTTTTTTCAATACAAAGAACAATTGCCAAAAAAGAATTTGTTTGGTTCGAATTTGAAAGTCTCAAAGATGAATAATTGTTCTGCTCTCGACAGCGACGAAATATTTGGCTCAAGAGGCGGATAATTCACACCAAACGGTGCCTTTTCAGGATGAAAATATCTCATACAGAGGAAAATTTGATTCAACAAATATTTTATCCCTAAGTTACAAGATTGCTATCATATCATTATTATTGTTTCATTTAAGGGTTCATTTGTTGTCTGTGATTATTAGACAGCCGAAGCGAAAAACTACTATCCCCTGTTTCGCATAAAACAAAGATTTTTCGGGAGCAAAATACGTATGGGAGTATCGAATAACGAAGGAGTAGTGCCAGAAATGACATTTTTTGCGTGTACAGAGAATACAATTTTTTTTCAACTACTAAATTTATTTTTGGCACTCTGCATGTTTGGCACAAAATAGTATATTTCGTAACGAGTGCAAAAAAGTGTTTTTTGACGAGTGGGAGGTTTATATCACGAGCCGAAGGCGAGTGATATAATCCCACGAGCTAAAAAACATTTTTTCACGAGTTACGAACAATATTTTTCATCACAATGTGGCAGAAATTGGACTTTTAGGCATGCAGAGCGTGCCGAGAAGTTCACTTTTCGTCACAGCGTGATGAAAAAATTCTTTTTTGATAATTTTCAAAAAATTATTTTCTTGGCACAAGTAAGACTTGTTTGAGAACTTTGTCGTTTTTCTCTCAGTGTAGTTTGCGTTAAAACTGAAGTAATAAACTCATCAGCACGCCAGAAGTTTCCCCTTAATAATCATCAACAGCCCGACGATTTAAAAAAATTAACACTTGCCAGGGTTTCAGTTACCACCCAACCATTCAAATCAAATAATTAAATTGTACAACGCATGGTTTTGGAGTCCTGCGGAGTAGTCTCCACTCGGCCGTGCTCGTAAGTGCACCAAGGGCCACAAAAAATCCCCAGAAATGCCCCAAGAATCCCCTTCATCCTTCTCATTTCGTCCCCAGGAAATCTGAGATTGAATACTACGCCATGCTGGCCAAGACTGGAGTCCACCACTACACAGGCAACAACATTGAGTTGGGTACCGCCTGCGGAAAGTACTTCCGTGTGTGCACACTCTCAATCACAGATCCTGGTAACTCTGATATCATCAAGTCCATGCCCACTGGCGACCAGGCGTAATTTTTTTTGTACCATTATCGCAACGTAGGGTTGCTACGTTGGGTTCTTTGGGATAAGGAGAAAAAATAAAGAAAACCAGGGACAGTTTCGTCCAAAATTATGTCCTTTTATTTTTACCTTCGTTGGTTTTGATGGGGGCGAGCTTTTTAGTGGACTTTTTTGGTCTTCTGGGGGGAGGGAGAGCCCAGGATCTTCTTTCTCTGGGCGAACATGTGGAGGTACATTTGTGGGAATACTGAAAAAAATAAAAGAAAAAATTAGGGATAAGAATTGATCGGCTGGGACAGGATTAATTAACTTTAAGTCACTTTTTGCTTTCGAATAGAAGCATTGTACTCGTCAAATCTGAAATTTCCATTTTTTCAGGGGATGATGACTAATTTTGGTCTCAGGAGTTCGAATAGTTTTCAAATTTAGTTTTTTGAAGATCATTTAAAAAATAATCGTCGAAATCTTTTCAATTATGGCTTAAAATATTCGGTTGGATGTTATCTCGGCCGAGTTCGAAGACAGCGGTGATCGCATCATTTGCTGTCAAATTATAGCCTTAAAAGGCATTTAATCGAGGTTTAATCATGATTTAGTCGGAATTTGGTCGGAGGTTAATCAGGCTTTAACCAAGGTTTCGTCAAGGTTTAACCAATGTTCAGTGGAAGTTTAAACCAGTTTAATTTTAATTTAGTCGGCATCTGTTAATGTTTAACCAGGGCATATGGAGCTCATGTGAGACATTTGGGACATTTAGGGATCATATTAAGGTTTCATGGCTGGTATATCTTCTTCCCCAATTTACCATTCAGAAGCAAATTGCTAATTCATTAGCAAAAAAGTTATACTGGTCCCAAGTCTAGTTTAAGGAAAACTATTCAGAAGAAAAATAAAATTTAAATAATTTACTTACGACCGAGGAGACATCAACAGTGATATATCAGGAGCATGAACTCTTGTGATACCAAATTTTACATTCATTTTTTTTTCACTCAATCTCTCTAATTTAAAATAAATTCAGTTCACTAAAATATTTTATCTCAAATTGTCTTTAAAAAAAACTATTGAATTTCCTGAGGTTAAACTTCAGGAAGGATCCCTACTAATCTGAAATTAATGACATAACTTTGGGAGAACTCATTACATATACGAGGAAATAATGTAAAGACGATTCTCTACATATCGTTATATACTAATTGACATGTATAAACTCGTATATTTACGGTTAAACCGTACCCTAAAATTTAATCACCAAAAACAAGGTGAAATTTCCCTTTGGCATTGGCCAGTTGCAAGAGCTCCAGCAACTAATCACGTTAAAAATAAAAACAAATAATACACGAGATTTGTTCTACTTACGTGGAATGTAGAGGAGCATTACAAAAATGAGAAGATAGTGGTAACTGAACGTGAAGTTCCAGGTATTTGGTAAGGCATAACTCCAGAGATCTGGATGACTCCCTGCATAAGATTGAGCTGCATAAAAGCATAACAACTCTCCGGTGACTCCGATGGGGTAGAGAGCAATGAACGTCGTGTACCTGATTGAGACGAAACGTGAAGAAATGATGTGTTCAGGGTCATGTTATATGAGACTTGTTTTCCTTCAAAATCAAAATCGAAAACAATGCAATACTTCACATCGATTAACGTAATTTCATTTACATCTTGATGAACATGTAATTATCTTGAAAACAAGTTGTCTTACGAAAAAATGTCAAGAAACATTTTTTACAGCTGAGAAAATTTCCTGCAAAAAATCTCCGATGACATGACCTCGCAAAATCACTTCCGATTGAGATATTTTCAATTAAACAAAATGTGGAAAACTACGAATTGGCTTGAATAATTCAAGCCCTCGTATTTTGAATATTTATAATTGCTTACCTGAGCCACACGAGCAAGTGTGGAACAAAGCCGATGAGATTCGCAAAGTAATATCCGTATCGAATAATTTCGGTGACTGACCAAGCAAAAAGTGCGATTGGCAAACCAGCGGAAGCAGCAGCGGCGCTCGCTGGTGTGGCTAGCAGCACGCCACACACCACCATGACTCGGCTCAATACTTGAAATGTCGTGATCACGACGTTTGAACGGACTAAACCAATAGCTGCGTGTAAAATCTGCGGAGTAAAATTTACAACGTGAATGAAAATAGTGTTGGAGAATAATGAAAATTTATGGACTATTTATTTAAAAATAGTAAAATCATTTTCTTCACCATCACCACATTTTCCAAACTGTTTCACGCTCATCTCATCCAAGACAATGTCAAACATTTCACTTTTCCATCTTAAGCATGTAATGCTAACAACCAATTGAATACTGAATTACTTATTGTTATCTTTTCGCTTATTTTCTGCGTTCTACACATTGTACATATGTAACTTGTAAATACCAGGCTGAAGGCCCTCGGGCGATGGCCAAAAAATAAAAATAAAAAAATAGTAAAATAATTCAGTAGTGAAGTGGTAAATCGAGATAAGTCAATTTTGACTATTGAGTTTCCAATGAATATCTCGAAATCTATGGAAGATAGCAAAATTTTTATTATAACCTTTTCTGTGGAGCCCATTGCGTGCTACAACAAATGTAATGACAAAAATTTCGCTATCTCCCTTAGATTCGAAAATATTGCTCAAAAACTCGACTGAGAGATCGACTTATCTCGGTTTACCACTTCGCTACTGAATTGAAATATAAATAAAATATCTTAATAGAATAAGTTGTAGGGAAGAATCGAATCCTGTTGATTTTCTATAGAATATTTTCTATCCAACATTTCAATAGAATCGGCCTGAAACTAATAGAGAGTTCAATAGAAATCCAATAGAATTTTCGCGAATTCGCTAGGATTTTTACTGAGAATTCATTGGAATCTACATAATGACACTGAATTTTCAATTAATTTTTGTGGAATAATTGAACTGAAATTCACAGCTTCAATTGATTTTTTCATCGAATTGTGAATTTTTAATAGTGAAATTCTTGGAAATTCCAGTGATATTAAATTCGATGGCGAGGAAAAAACCCATGAAATTTCGAATTTTCATGAACCTTCACTTGAATTTCCAAACATAACATGAATTCAGTAAAAAATTACCCTGGATTTTGTAACGAAATTTTGAATTATTAACGTCTAGAATTTATTTTCTCCGGGTTCTAGAAATTCCAGTTTCCGATCTTAAATTTTACTTCTTGTTCCAAATTAAAGTTTTATTAATTCCTTATGGATTTCAATTGGAAAATTAAGAATTATTCAATAATTTATGGTCAATTTTGCCACAAAATTAAACCCTCAGTATTTCCGTTTCAATCTCTGGTTTTCAGTTGCAGAGAACTTTCTTCGTAACTTTAAAATTCATAACTAAAATTAAAATTTTGAATTAAAATTCATAACTTTTGACATTTTCACTTAAAAATTCTCCCTGAGGTCTCAATTTCTTCGTTTTGAATTTGTTCAAAACTTGCTACAAATTCTCAAATAATATTAATAATGATTAAATTATTATCATCAAAATAAAAATCATAAATTTCCAAAATTCTTAAAACTCAAAGAATTGAATTTTCTTCGGTTTCTCGTCTTAGTTAAATTATTCGGAACAATTTCAATCAGTTTTAAAATTACATTAAATAATAATATTGTCCGGAATTGTGAGATCCTCACAATTTTCAATCAGTTGAAAATTCCAGAATAAATTGAATACATTCTCTTGATTTCTATGGGATTCTGTGGAATTATTGCAATAATTTTCAACAGCGACTTCCATGAAAACTTGCAATGCGAATGATTAATTTGAAATTTTACCTCCAGAACTGCAGCATTTTGGAATATCATGAGCGAGTTGTATTCAACGTCCCACAGACTTTGACCTTTGAAGTCGTCAGTGAAGTAGAATCTCGTTAATAAGCACAGTACATAACTCCAACTGAAAATAATCAAGACCGACAGTATGAGGGGAACTCATTCAGACGAGAATTTCCATTCAATTTTGAATGTAAATTAATTAGAAAGTCGGTAGTCCCTTCAAGATGAAAGGAGTTTTTGTAATTGAAAAGTGAAATTAAGTTCATTTAAACCCAAAATATTGGTTAAATCAGTCAGGAAACGATTCTGAATTTCACGATAAATCATTCGATAAAAAAGTTGATTAATTATTTACACAAGAATTAATTCTACTGACTTGTGCGCAATTTTAGGTATGAATGAATGAAAAATGGTGATTCAATCAAAAAAGAACTTCCTAATAATTAAAAATTAAAAATGAGGATTAAAAATAGACATTAAAAATTTTTTAAATAAACATAAAATGAAGAATATAAAATAAACAAAAAAAATGAGTAAAAAAGTAAAAATCCTTTTCTACTTTTGTAGTCGAATATCAGAGCTTTTGCATTTAGCCTCATTTGACCCCAAGTTTCAGGACCATAATAAAAATAAAAAAAAGTTTCAGGATATTCTACAATGATTTTATTATTTAACGTTGCAGGTCTGAATTGGAATCTCAATATTGAAACGTTACGAAACATTTTAAAAATCAGGAAAAAAAATTAGAAAGTTTACTTTGGGTGGAAGATTGACAAAATTATTAAAAAAATTGCAAATGTTGAAAATTACGAGCATTTTCTATAAATAATTTATAAATAATCAGTTTTTCACCATAAAAATCATTTTTTCGGAATCGTAAGAAATTCATTAATATTCAGAATTTACCAGAAATCGATTTCGTGCTTAAACAATAAGGTTGCCAATAGTTTAAACAATTTCGATTATTTATTTATAAACAAATTTGTAAACTAAATTATAAACAAATGTTTAAAAAAATTATAATTCTGTGCCAAATCTGATTTGAATGACGCTGAATATTCATGATTTTTTCAAATGAATGGTTCAATTCCACGTGCGATGAAATTTCGTAGTAAAATTTTCCGAATTCGCTAGATAATTTTATTGGATTTCTATTGAACTGTCTATTAGTTTCTGGTTGATCCTACTGGAAAATTCCACTGCTTATCTGAGCGTTTTTTTTTTCAATAGAAATTTTCAGTTGAAATTTCTATAGATTCTATAGAAAAACCTATTCCATAGAATTTGATTTTTTTAATCAACTCAATTCTATTGGAATATTTTCTGTAGAAAAAAAAGAAGAATGAAGCGAAAAAAAAATTATAAAATTGATGTCGAAGAATTCCTATAAAAAATTAAAGAAGAAAGACGAAATTCTGCTGATTTTTTCTATGAAATAAATTTAATAATTAGAATTTGATTTTTCTAATGCACTCAATTCTATTGGCGTATTTTCTATAGAAAAAAGAAGAAAAATGAAGTGAACAAAAAGCATAAAATTGAAGTCGAAGAATTCCTATAAAAAATTAAAGAAGAAAGACGAAATTCTGCTGATTTTTCTATCAAATAATTTCAATAATTAACATGATTTAATTTTTTCTATGAACTAAACTTAATAATTAGAATTTTATTTTTCTAATGAACTCAATTCTATTGGCATATTTTCTGTAAAAAAAAAGAGTGAAAAAAAATTACAAAATTGACGTAGAAGAATTCCTATAAAAAATGAAAGAAGAAAGACGAAATTCTGATTTTTTCTACGAAATAATTTCTGTTGGAAATTTTGGACTAAAAAATGCACAATAAAGGTGCGAAGTTCTTCAGTGGAATCGGCCAAAAAATATCAGAATGATCACTAGAATTTCCTATTAAATTCCCTCGGTTTTTCCAATTGAAAAAATTAAAACTCACCCAACAACAAGTGCAGCATTATACCCGATAAGATAAGCCTTTCCAATGGTACCGGGTCCCCTTTTCGCTTTGTCACCCTTACCCGCCATAGTTAAAAAATAAACCGAATGTCCAGTGAGACGCTCCAACCGACTCTGCCTCGTTCAGCACTTCTGCTGGGATTCCCCACCCGAAAATCAAAAAATTAGAAATTCAATTTCACCTCCACTTCTACTCCAGGCGTTCCTACATTGAGGCACATCGTAGCGAATACTCATTGCGTACATGCATTACGTACTCACCAGCCAGAATGCAGAATCCAGTGGCGAACGAGACCGTCAGTGGATGATTGCGGAAGAGATGAAAAAAACCGGTTTCAATGTTCAATTTTACTATGACATGTAAACATCTCATAACTGTTCATTCGGGTGTCTCTCCCATCCTCGTGGTGCCTTCGGTACATTCAGGTACATTTGCGCGACCTCGTCCCTGGGGGGTGGTAAAACGCGGGAAATTCGAATGCGAATGAGGAAAGGTGAATCGCTGAACAAAAAAATTTTTCCCATTCTGATTAAAAATTAAGGCAATATTAGGGAGTATCTCCGGTTAAAAATTATTTTTGGAGCTAATCAAATTTATTTGTATTTGTTCCACGCATTGAATGCTTTTCAGATTGTTTTTTTTTAATAAATGAAAAAATATTAATCCATGCGAAAAAGTGGCAACATCGTCGGTAGTTTTTTTTTACCAGGAGCTGGTACCACTGGCTCGAGGGAGCTCCAATCACAATGCTTCATCGCTCTCTCTCAGGAGACGTCGAGGCACAGGAGAACGACGACGAACCGGATCCGGTGACGCAAATTAAAGATGAAGTTAGGAGACTTTGGAAGGTCCAGTTCCAGGGAGCGGAGGATGGTCGAAATACTTTTGCTTTCTTCCCAGATGTGTTGAAGAGACTCGATTCTAAATTTGTTACTCCTCACTTCTACACTTCGCAAGTTCTAACCGGGCATGGTCAATTCCGGGCTTATCTTGAGCCCAGAACCTTAAATTGGGACGTTGCTGCTCGTTTAGGCTGCGTGCGCAGAAATTTCATTTTTTAGTACTTTTTTCGTTATTATTAATAAACAATGCTCCTAGGCGACAATCTTTTTCACTCAAAAAATCATTGATCACATGTTCTAAATGTGTCTAAAGTTTCATGACTTTGGCTGCATTTTTTCCTTGGGTTTTGCAGTTTTTTTGGTGATTTTCATAAGATCGAGGGTTAAACCACTTTTTCAAAAATTCATAATAAATTAACCATGCCCCCCAGCAGTCTGAAACTTTGCACATGCCTTTTCCATCATTTAAAGAATACGTAAAAAAAAGAAAAAAATGGCTGCTTTTTTTCCAACCCTCCCAGCTCGCCCGATTATCCTTAAGTGAATGTAAATAACCCACTGTAGGTTAATACAATAAATTTAAAAAATATCAATATAACACGGTGATGTACTCGTTGAACGGTTACATTGATACTGTACTCAAGGTGACTCTCTGACTAATCGATGTATACTCTTTGATGGATAGATTGATACTGAAATCACATTTGGCGATTTACTCCGTGATTTGACCCTGAACCCGAAGGGTCCATAAGTCGCTCGAGATTTTCCGTTGAGACCGGTAACTCTCAATGATAGATTATTTACTGCATTTTAAACAAAATCCTCTCAAGTTTTTCTCTAAATCCCGAAATTTTGGGGATATTTAGGAAAGACTCACATTTTTTGAAGGACAGCATGTCGATTAGTCTGCATTTTTCGTAAATATCTCTGAAACTTACTGTCTCAGCGAAAAAACTCACAAGACATTGTACACGGAGAATTTCGTAAGCTACAAAAAAGGTTTCTTACGTTTTTTCCATCTTCAATAGTTTCAGAGATATTCACGAAATAGTTAACGCGATGTCGCGCCGCAGGTTTTCTTTAATTTTTCTTTCATCGCTCTGTTGATACCGGCTCGCAACAGTGAGCGGGTTCGAGCGTTCAACCTGAAATGATAACGTTATTGTTTTGATATCACCGCGGACGAGAAATTCTGGAGAAGTCAAGTGTCAATATGTTTGGAGTTTTAAGGAGGACAGGGGGATTTTTCAAACCTTCGGGAATTGATCGGAAATGTTTCGGTGGATTTGTGTACAGTGGAGAGGTTATTCAGGCTAGGAGAAATGGCCTGCCAATTGTTGCACTGGAGACAACAATTGTCACACATGGCATGCCGTATCCCGATAATTATGCGACGGCTGTCACTGTTGAGAGTGTGATAAGGAAAAAAGTAAGGATGCAGGGGTCAATGGATTGTCCTTGCTATTTTCTTGGTTTATGATTGTACACTGATAGAAAAAATTAATTTGATCAAGAGAATTTTATTTGAACCAACTATCATTTGGTCGTCAATTTTGAAATAAACATTATTTCATAGTGAATACGAGTTATCTCTTCTTTGGAAACATTGGATTGGGAGAAATCGAACTTCTCTAGAATTGAAGTTCTTTTTGTTTGTCGCAATAATGAGAGCATTTGATTTCTCTCTAGCCGAAAGCTTGCCAACTCCAGAAATTCGTTGGTTCACTCAAAAATCAAAATTATTCTCTGTAGTATTAGTGAGAGGGTGATCCAAATAATATTAATAGAATTTTCCTATTTTTGTGGTGAATACATGCGACTTGACGCCAAGGACTGTTTTATTTGATTCAAGTAAATGTATCTGAAGAAGAAATAATTCAGTAGTGAAGCGGTAAACCGGGTTAAGTCGATTTTGACTTTTGATCAGTTTTTGATGAATATCTCAGAACCTAAGAGAGATAGCAAAATTTTTCTCATGACCTTTTTTGTAGAACCAATTAAGGGCTATAAAAAGTTCCTGACAAAAATTTTTCTATCTCTTTTAGATTCCGAGATATTCGTCAAAAACTGGCCAATAGTCAAAATCGACTTAACCCGGTTTACCGCTTCGCTACTGAATTGATATTCGCCGTAAGATCTTACTCATTTGAAATTGGTTCAAGTATACAATAATTATTCCGAGAGAGAAACATCTCAAATAATTTAAAAAAATAACTTTTTCTATCAATGTATGGAAAGTAGCAGTAGCTGTCACTCTCATTCGCGAATAATTTGCCGATGTCTGCTTGGAAGTAATTACAATTGCAGGAAAAAATTTTACGGAAGAAATTCCGAGCGAATCTAATTTTTTTTCTTCAAGGTCTCGTAAAAGAATTTTACGTTTGATTAAAACGAAAGTTATCTTGGTAGTGAGTCACTTTAAGAGAACAAGTGAAAATAGTTATAATTTAATTTTTCTTTTATTTTATACAGAAAAGGGCTTTAAGAAAATTTCTATGAGAAAAATTCTTCAAGCGAAGTGGATAAAATTGGAAAATTGCGAATAATTTTCCAGGGAGCAGTTCCCGCAACAATCGGCATAATTAACGGCCGAATCCATGTGGGTCTGACCGAAGAGCAGATTAAAAAATTGGCTGTTGAGGCTGGGGGTCCCCAAAGTGCCATAAAATGCTCGCAAAGGGATATCTGTGGTGTTGTGGCTGGAAGAGCGAACGGTGGAACCACTGTTGGAGGCACTGTGACAATAGCCAAACTCGCTGGAATTCCTGTGATGGCAACTGGTGGTATTGGAGGGGTACACCGGGGAGCTGAGGAAACATTCGATATTAGCTCGGATTTAGTTGTTCTGGGGAGGACTCCGGTGGCTGTGGTCTGCGCTGGGGTCAAAGCCATTCTCGATATTCCCAAGACTCTGGAGTTTCTGGTAAATTTCGTCAGGAATTTTTCAGTCCTCTGGACGCAGCCATCGGCATCAATCATTAGATGAGTAATATTATGAGCAGTTGCGCCTTGCGATAATTAAGGTTTAATTAACTTCCCTGAAATTTGAAAAATAAGAAAATAATTGATGATTCAAATTTTCAATAGATTATGAATTAAATCATTGGCAGTATGGAATTGTCAATTGACTATTGAGTAAATAATTATTGAGTAAATATCTCCGAACTCAATTATTGATTGGCAAAATAATTCGGAAATTAATCATCAATTAAATATCAAATTCCGAATTTTTTTAAATTTTACTGATGGGCAATTTAAGAATTAATTGTTGAGGAATATCGATAATCGGCTTATTCAAAATTTAAGTGTATTTAAAATTTATGATTATGCCGATGTCTGCGTGGAAGTAATTACAATTGCAGGAAAAAATTTTACGGAAGAAATTCCGAGCGAATCTGATTTTTTTTCTTCAAGGTCTCGTAAAAGAATTTTACGTTTGATTAAAACGAAAGTTATCTTGGTAGTGAGTCACTTTGAGAGAACAAGTGAAAATAGTTATAATTTAATTTTTCTTTTATTTTATACAGAAAAGGGCTTTAAGAAAATTTCTATGAGAAAAATTCTTCAAGCGAAGTGGATAAAATTGGAAAATTGCCTATTTTGTTTTGCTAGAAGATGAGTCATCTTGATGAGGAATTCAAAAAGAAATGGTCAACACGCATTTTTCTGGAAATTTAAATTTAAACTCAAATTGATGTGAAATGAAATTAGAGAGGAAAATTCAAAGAATTTTTCAATCTCTCAAAAGTAATCACAATCACAGTAAAAAATATGGTAATAAAATCCAAGAAAAACAAATTCTTTTGGTTTTCAATTTGACATAAAAAATGATCTTATGTCTGGATAAAATAGCAATTATCTCGGTAACTGGTAATTTCACGAGGAAAAGTCAAAAGGAATTTTTTGTCTCAAATTTAATTCCCCACAAAAAACTTCTGAACGAAAATTCCGTTATCTCTCTCAGATTCTTAGATATTTACGAATATTTCTGAAACGATCGGCCTTAATTTTTCGCTCTATAATTATCAGGAGACATTGGGGGTGCCAGTGGTAACAATGGGAGATACAGAGACATTCCCAGCATTCTACAGTCGCAGCACCTCGGATTACCTGAAATCCCCGGCGAGAGTATCTGGATGTCAGCAAGCCGCCGAGTGTATAAAAGCTCAAAGGGATTTGGGATTAAATTCGGGTCTAGTTTTTGCTGTTCCCATACCACAATCAGCTTCCCTCGACCCACTGGAGATTGAGGGATTCATTCAAATGGCCCTGAGGGAGTCTGAGGAGAAGAAAATCAGGGGGAAAGCAGTCACTCCTTATTTGTTGAAAAGAATAACTGAGTTGACTGGGGGAAAGTCGTTGGCAGCGAGTAAGTTTTTTAATTAGAATATTTGTACTCTTCATCGTAGGCATCCAGAGATGTGACGAAGTTGAATCGAAAGAAAGTCTTTATTTGAAATTTTTCTATTCGTTTTAATAGGATTTTTTGGTGAAAATTAATAAACTCATATATTTAGTCCAATTAAACGATCTAATTATGTAGGATCAATTCGCTAAATGATTTTTCCTTATTTCTGACCCTTATTTCTACCCTTGTGATCCTTAATTTTGGATTCTTAATTTCGACTACCAAATTTTCATCACCAGAAATCGATTTGGATTTTTATAATATAGAGAGAAAAACAAAAATACAGCGGAGAAAAACTTGCAAAAGTTGCGCTCAAGAATTTCTATAGAAAATTCAAAATCTACTGATTTTTTTTTATTGAATGGCGCAAAAAACAGATTGTTGTAATAGAATTCTAGTAAAACTTCAAGGGAATATTCACATAGTTCTAATAGAAATTCAACAGATTTTCATGAACAAAGTGCTGTTTTTCAATTAACGAAAAGAAAAGAAGTTTCAGTTTAAATAAAGGGTTTATCATGAGATTTTTTAATAAACTGTCATTTGATTCAAATCAAGTTCATTTAATTCAAATGAACCATTCATCTGGGTGTACTTACCTCTTTGGTCTAATGAAGACGTAAAAACTCAAATGTTTCAGATAAAATCCTCATTCAGAATAATGCAGCAGTGGCAGCAGAAATCTCCCTGCACTTGTCTAAATTACTTAATCAAAATGAGGAAAATTATGCTAATGATGTTAAGAGAGTAATTCCTGGTGTACCAGTGAGTTAATTTGTAATTACAATTTATAAAAACGTGTTCAGAATAAAATGGAGATGGCGAACTGAGTAAAGTTATGTAAATCACTGCTGACCCTAGAAAGAAATGTCAGAAAACGATTTCGTAATTCTCAAAGTTATAAGAAATTTCTATTGAATTTTCTATTGCATTTCAATTGCATTTCTGTTGAACTTTCTATTAATTTTTGACCGATTTTACTGAAATCTTCAATAGAAAATATTCTATAGAAAATGTCAACAGAATTCGATTTTTCTATACAACTGATTCTGTTGAGATATTTTCTATAGAATTTCCTCGACTCAGATTTTTCAAGTTTTCTTCTCTATTTTTCTTTTCTTCTCATCAAGAGAGTCAAACAAAAAACTTGGAAAATTTGAGTCAAGGCAATTCTATAGAAAATATTTCAATAGAATAAGTTGTATAAAAAATCGAATTCCAATAGAACTAATAGAAAGTTCAATAGAAATCCAATAGAATTGTCTACCGAATTCGCTACGTTTTTCTATGAATTTTTTTCACACGTTTTAGTCAATCGTTCTTCTTCCTCTTTCCATCATTAAAATGTTCTCATCCTTTTACGTAATCCGAGAAAATAATTCCAGGTAGTTATTGGAGGAGCAGTGGAGGACACACTGCTGCAATGTGAGGACACCCCCCTAAAAGTAAGTCACAAGCAAAATCAAAACACATTTTTTATACTAAATAACCAATTTTCATTTCTCATATTTTATTCGTATAATAATGATGATAATAACGAATTCTCTTCATAATATTAAATTAGGGCTTTTTGTTACGCGCATACATAACGTACGAAGAGTTTATTAATATTCCACTTGGTACACGTAGGTATGTATGCATGTTCGTTTATAAATGCACATGCAATTTTACGAAGAGCATTTTGTTAGCGAATTATTTTCGTTCAATTTGTCGTACCTTTCGTTCTCCATTATTCGAAGATGCCATGTGGATCTCACGAGGCAATTGTTCAAGAATTTATCTTCAATTTGTAGTAAATTTTCAATTAAGGCCCGGGTGTACTATCTTTCGAATGTTATCTGGATTTTTTTATCTTTCGTAATTCAAAATTGTCAATTGAGTGGTACATCATGTAGAAATTCCCAAAAATTATGATAGAATGATAAAAAAAATTGAAAAAATTCTGAACTTTTTCAAAGGGCGTTTTTAATTAGGATTCAGAATGAGTTGAAAAATGTGGAAATTACAAATATTTGATTCGCTGTGGCAAATTATCTATTCGCTGTCATTTTCCATGGTGGATAACAAAACACTAACTCCTCATGGGAAGTGACAGCTAGGTATCTCAATTTTCAAAACAGTGGTATGTAGTCATCGGGCATTTTTATGTGATAAAAGTGTGATTAAAAAATTCTCCAAAATATTACAACTTTTTTCAAAGAGCCTTTTCCGTAATAAATGTCTCTGTGCAGTAGGGGAAAAGATTTACGAAATGAGTCTTCCCCCTGATATTGATATTGATGATATTGGGTGACAGGCCGCCATTTGTCACCGTAAATCACATACATTTTTCAATTTCTTGTTATTCAACTTATTCTGAATATAAACTAAAAATGCTCTTTGAAAAAATTAAAATTTTTTTCTACTTTTTTCAAATTTTTCATTCATAATTTTTCAAAACTTTTGTATGATGCAGGACTTAATTGACGATTTCAGATGACGAAAGATGAAGAAAAACATCGAGATAACGTTCGAAAGATGGTTCACCCGGGCCTTAAAAAAAAATTTCAATTCAAATGTTTGATTTTTTGTTGAACATTTTTCGATTTTTGAGTGAAATCCCCATGAAATCCTCGAGTAAGCGCCCTTCGAAGCTCCATGTGCTCCTGCAACACGTTTATTTTAAGATATTTTCATCTTTCAATTACATTCTTACAAAAAGCAAAGCAAGGGTATAGGAAAGCAGTCTCGATAGTTTCTATTATTGGTTGTTTTTTTTTCCTGTTGTTTTCCATTCTTCTAACATTCACAATTATTCTCTCACGATCAACTGTTATAATTTATCACTCTCTGAATATATTTCCGATAAAACAACAATCATCCTCACCACACAATGAAAGACACCAGCATGAAACATTTTTTTTTCATGAATTACATTGTTGTCCCTTTTTACATTGAGTTTTTTTTCTCTGTAGTTTATTTATCTGGTTCGGCTTATCTAGGTACCACTGTGTGAACTAGCTGGTAAATTCAATTTAATTTTTACGTTTAACTGGTTTTTATAGGTAATTTTAGGAGGGTTTTGTGAAATGGGGTGAGTCAGGCTTTGTTGGATGGTGGTTAGTGGAAAATGTGGAAATTCCGGGGATATTTAGCAATAAGTGACTTCGAAAATCATGAAGATCGACTATTTACGTCCAGATAAATGGCTTGTTTGCAGTGAATGGGTTTATTCATTCCTCGTAATAACAGGCATGAAAAAATTTTGGACTATCCAAGTATCGTTTACGGTTCAGTGCAGACTGCAATGTAGATTAAACCATTTTCAATCAAATTTGTCAACTAAATTGCGTGAGAAAAATTCGAGAACAATCATAAATATTCAGCGTCATTCAAATTTTGTCCAAAATTATCATTTTTAAAAATATTCGTTGTTTCTACATGAATGAATAAAAAAATTAATAGATTATTAAAATAAGCAAATAAATAAATTGTTTAAACTTCGATTGTTGGTAAAATTCTGAATGTTAATAAATTTGTTACGATACCGAACAAATGATTTTTGTGGAGGGAAATTGATTGTTTATAAATGATTTATAGAAAATGATCGATTTTGCAAATTGCAATTTTTAAAGTATTTAATCAGTCTTCCTCCAAAAGTAAACTTTCTAATTTGTTTTTCAACTGCAAAAGTAGGAATTCATTTCACTGGAGAAAACGTAGCCAGAGCACTTGGATATCCTTAATAGGAAAACTTAGTAAATTCGCAAGACAATTCTATTGAATTTATGTTGGACTTCATAAGTTTTTTTCGTTGATTTTCTCGATGAAAAGAAAAACATAAAATGAAAATCTTGAAAAATTTGAGCCGAGGAAAATCTATAGAAAATATCTCAATAAGTTGTATAGAAAAATCGAATTCCATTGACTATTTTCTATTGAATATTTCTATTGAACTTTCTATTAGTTTTTGGCCGATTCTATTAAAATATCCAGTAGAAAATATTCTGTAGAAAAAGTTGATAGAATTCATTTTTTCTATACAATTTATTCTATTCAAATATTTTCTATAGAATTCGCTACATTTTTCAACGAATTTTTTTCACGCGAGAATGCAGCGGAAACAACTTATGAAATCTACGTACAACAATTTCTATAGAAAAGTCAAGATCAAGTCACTTTTTTCTATTACATATATCTAAAAAAATGACACATGTGGCACTCTTTTTTATAGAAATGGCGCTAAAAACTAATAGAATTTTTCAAAAGAATTCTTATAGAGTTCCACTAGAAATTCAATAGAATTCCTTAACGAAAACGTTGCGTTTTTCTATTAAATTTATTCAAACCTGCAAACAAGTATTGTTTGAGAAAAAAATTTTCTCTCGATAAAAAAAATATCGTCTCCCCCATAAATTTTATGATGACAAAATGACTCATCCCGTTTCACCACTTTATCATCAATTTCTTTAATCCATTTCTCGTATTTAAATTTAACTCTTTATATATATTATTTTTCATCTTTAAAGCAGGCACTATTCAAAGCTCCCATCATTCCCTCATCTAATTATTCACTTCACTCGTGTAACCCAATTATTGAATTATCTCCCCTTTAGTTTTTGTTTCTTCATTTTTTAAATATTCATCTTGTTTATTTGTTTAATTATATATTTATTATGACGACTATCAATTAAATTACAAACATCCTAATTTTTTTTATTTATTATCGTTAAAGCCTCGAATTTCATCTCAATTAGTTCGTCTTTACGTATCGGAACGGTTCTTCACTAGTTTTTGGTAATTTGTTTGATCTAATGGTGTTACACTTCTCATGTCTTAATGACAGGAAATTAGTTGTTCCATTCTTAGATTATTCATGTTGAGAAGGGGATTTAAAAAAAATAGTTGTGATAAATTTGGTTGATACCAAAGACGAGCAGATCACGTACGAAAAAAATTTAATTAAAATCCTAGTGAATTCCTAGGAAATTCTATTGATTTCTGGCCAATTCGATTGAGAATTTCGCAGCTCATCTGAGCTTTTTTTTCAATAGAAATGTTCAATAGAATAAATCCATAGAATTACGCTTGTTCATAGAAATTCCTCGGCTCAAATTTGCTTTTTGCAAAGTTTTTTTGTTTGATTTTCCGAATAAAAAAGGAAGAAAAATAGAGTGAGGATAAATTAGAAAATTCATGTTGAGGAATTTCTATAGAAAAAATTACTTAGAAAGATGAAATTCCACAGATTTTTTTCTATAAAATAATTGGACATTTGTATTGGACGTTTTCTATTGGGAAACGCGCTCTAAAGCTGCGAAATTCTCCAATAGAAATTCAATGAGAATCCAATAGAATTTTCTATAGAAAAATGCACCGAATTCGCTAGAAAATTCTGTTTTTATTGGACTTTCTATTAGTTTTGGCCGATTCTATAGAAAAATTCCGCAGCTTATCTGTATACTTTAAATGTAAATGTTCAATAGAAAATATGCTATAGAAAAAATGAACAGAATTATTTTTCTTTCTACAACTTATTCTATTGAGTTATTTTCTATAGAAATTCCTCGGCTCAAATTTCCTAATTTTCTTTGCTCAATTTTTCTAACGAAAAAGAAAGAAAAGTAGAGGTGAAAAAACTTGGAAAATTCGTGTCTAGGCATTCCTATAGAAAATGCCTTAATAGAAAAAATTCTATAGCAACCTGAAATTGTATAGCAACTGATTCTTTTCTATCAAATAATTTCTATTGGCCATTCTATATAAAAAACGCGCAATAGCATCAGCCAAAAACTAATAGAATTTTTAATAGAAGTTCAATAGAAATAGAATTTTCTATAGAACTCGATAGATTTTTTATGCAATTTTTTTGTCGAAACCTTTTCAGTATCACGTACGAAAAAACTTTATAAAAAAATTTTGCGAATTAGCTAGAAAATTCTATTGGCTGTCTATTGGGCTTTCTATTAGTTTTTGGCCGATACTATAGAAAAATTCCGCAGCTCATCTGCACTTTTTTAAAATAAAAATGCTCAATAGGAAATATTTTATAGAAAAAATCTACTCAAATTTTTAAAACTATAATTAAAAATTCTATACAAATTGAGATATTGAGACATTTTCTATAGAAATTCATCGAGTCGAATTTCCTCATTTTTTTTGCTTGATTTTTCTAAAGGAAAAGTAAGAATAAATCGAAAAAAAAACAGAAAATTAATGTCGATGAATTAAACAAAAGGGAGATAGCGAAATTTTCGTAATGACATTTGTTGTAGCTCTCAATCGGTTCTACAAAAAAGGTTTTAAAAAATATTTTTCTATCTCCCTTAGATTTCGAGATATTCATTGAAAACTGGTCAGTAGTCAAAATTGACTTGTACCGTTTTACCCCTTCGCTATTGAATTCTGGTTATTTTTTCTGTTAAATAGTTTCTATTGAATATCTTACATTGAAAAACGCACGAGGAATCAGCGGAATTATTCAATAGAATTTCCCAGAAACTAATAGAATTTTTAATAGAAGTTAAAAACCAATAGAAAAAAAAAAAACAAATCTAAATCCAATAAAAAAAATCTAATAGAATTTTCTATCGAATTCGCTTTTCTTTAAATTTTTCTCGTGCGTGATGAGTTATTTTCCTTTCCTAAATGATCAATGACGATGACAATAATTGTTACAGTATTCACGATTTTTGATAATTTCGTTTTGTCACTTTTTGGCTTCTCTGGTTGCTTCCCTTAACAACCTGACAGTGGAAATACTCATGAATGCTTTCATTCAGACGCATTTTGTGCGGTACTAATCGATATTTCGTCACATTATTCCGTCATGTTTTAATGAATATATTGATTACTACCTTTGAGCCACGAGAAGTCAATAATTTACAGTTGTTGTTCAGGAGAATTTGTCTTTCATTGTTATTCCTTCTCAGTTTTGGGTCAATTATGTACACAGCGAGCGGTATGCGTGTCGGTTGGACAGTAATTATGAGGTAATGGTGCAAATAGAGCGACGAAAATAAAACAGTCACGTTCGTCAATGTCTCGGGAAAAATATAGAGACGAGAGAATGGGAAATGGGGGAGAATTTAAGGGGAATCGTAAAACTTGAGTCCAATTTTAGGTTTTCGAGAAAATGTGGATGAAATTTTAAACGATAAATGTCTCTTGGCATTTTGCTCGCCAAGAGCAACTTTTAAAAAATTTTATCTGAATTTTTTGGTACATTTTTTGGATATTTTTGTCAAATTTAATTACCAGTGAAATTTCAAGGAATTTTGTCATTAAAAATTCGGTTTTTCTTGGAAAAATCAAAGAGAACTGTAAATTTCACTCACCCGTATTTTGAATCCGTAATCGTGGCTTTCGCACAAAAAAATGCGAGTAGATTTTTTCCAGAGAATGAAATTCCCAGCAAAAAGTTAAATTTTCGAAATTTTTTCCCGAGACGAAGTGCAACCAGAGTCAGGCAAAATTATAATGTGGAATTGAAATTATTTTATTACGTACAAAATCCGTTAACGGTATTGCTCAATTTTTTAGTTTTTATTAAATTAATCATCAATCACATTTTTCAAATTTCCAAATATTTTACAAATTGGTAATTGACTTGGGAAGATTGACGATTATTTGATTAATCAAATTCACAAATTTGTAAGTAATCATTTAAATACAATTGAAAGTTAAAATGATTTTCAAAACTCAATTTAAAAAATTCTGAACAAATTATTCAATTCAATTTAATTAACATAAGGATATCCAAGTATATTCTACAGTTTAGTGCAGACCACACTATAGATTTAACCATTTTCAATCATTAAATTTGTCAATTGTCAACAGTTACATGAGAAAATTTTGAAAAAAAAATCGTAAATATTTAGCATTATTCAAATTACAAATTATTTTGCACAGAATTATCATTTTTTTAAACATTCGTTGTTTATAAATAATTAAATAAATAAATAAGTAAATAAGTGAATAAATATGCAAAAATAAATATATATAAATCAATTAATTAATAAGTTGAAATTGTTTAATGAATAAATTTGTAACGATTCCGAACAAATGATTTTTATGGTAGAAAATTGTTTATAAATTAATTATAAAATCTGCTCGTAATTTTGCAAAATTGCAATTTTTCAATTATTTCAATCTTCCCCCAAAAGTAAACTTTCAAATATTTTTTCAGATTCTGAAAATATTTTCCAACTGTTCAATAACGAGTTTCAGATTCAGACCTACAATTGTAAAATTTAAATTTGAAATAATAAAATCATTATAAAATTTCCTGAAACTCAGGGTCAAATGGGGTTCAACTGAAAGCTCCGTTATTCAACAACAAAAGTGGAAAAGCATTTCACTGAAGAAAAAATATCGAAAGCACTCAGATATCCTCAAGGTAATTAAAAAAAACATTACTAAAGTGATGATTGTTGCCGATCTCTGAGTGCAATTTCCAAAAGTTGAATTGGAAAATAAAATTGAACTGAATTTGTCTTCCTATCCGTCACAGCATTGGTTATTTATGTAGTATTTATGCAAGTCGTATGTACCGTGTCGAAATTTCAACGACAGCAAGTCTTTCATCCTCGACAGTAACTGCCTCCAACTGGTGGACCCTCTCCTCTCGAAAATGTCATTTCTCCCGTTCTCATCATTTTTCCCACAACGTATTTATGCTTTTCAGTCTGTATGTTAAGTTAATTCGAACGAGGGCAATTACGTTAATGCTCGCGGCTCCCCACTCACGTAACATTCACGTCCAAACTCACTCCTAAATTCTCTCTCACGTTTCCACATTCGTTTTCTCCCCTTCAACTGTTTTTTTACATTTGTTTTTAATTTCATTTCTTGGTCATTTATGCTGAACGCAATGTTTTCATCGAGTACTGGCAGTAACGTGATTTCTTAGTAATTATTCCGCTGTTTTCTTGATGTAACTGAAGATTTTGGGGAATTAGAGTTGAGGGAAATGCCGAGGAAATGACGGGGAAGTGTTGAGGAAATTTAACAGGAGAGAATAGTTTTTTTTCGTCATGTTTTTTATCGGTTTTGATACTCAAAAACAACTCGACACGTTTCAGTCTTTGTCACGCAACCCTCGACTAGACGTTATTTTAATATATTTTTAGTTTATGAGGTGAATTGATGCCCAGGAGAATTAATTCGAGTTCGTGTCGAGTTTAATTAGTTTTTTGGGAGGAATTGAGGGGATAATTTTTCAATTAATAATGCAACATTTGAGGTGATTAAGGGAATAGAACATTCATATCCATTTGATCAGCGAACATTCAGTTGATGGCGATAAATATTTTTTCGAATTTCATTCGCTGCAATTATCGCGATAATGACGTAATTTTCAGGGAAAATATAGTGAGAAATTTTTTTCCGTAACTGATGAAATTTCCTACAAAAATATCTAATACAATTTTTTTTCCATAAATTATTCATTGAAGAGGGCAATTTTCCTATGGAAACAATTTTAAAAAATTTCTCTCGAAATTTTTGTCTAAAACCACTCATTATCGAAATAATCGTCAAATTCCCAGAGGTTTTCACCTGAGAAATTCCCAGGAAAAAAGACTATTCAGGAAACTTTTTTTTTAATTGTGAGTCAAAGGGTTTTGAGGGTTAAACGACCCTTAAGAGGATTTAGGGATGAAAGTCGAATGGTCTTGAGGGTTATGAGGGTCAATAACCCTCAAAACCTTTTAGGGTTAAGAGTCAAATGGTCTTAAGGGTCGTATAAAGTACAGTAAAATGGTCAAAAAGGGCCATTTGACCCTCAACTCAGAGCCTCTTCAAGGGTCGTTTGCTCCTTAAGACAATTAGACTCTCAACTCCAAACGTTCTTAAAGGTCGCATGACCCTTGCGACCATTTGACCTCTAGCTCCGAACGTCTTTGTTACCATTTGAGGGTCAAACAACCCTCCAGGACGTTTTTAGTTGAGGGGCAAATGGTATTGAGGGTTTTGAGGGTCAATAACTCTCAAAACCTTTCAGGGTTAAGGGTCAAATATTCTTAAGGGTCGAATAAATTACAGTAAAGTGATCAGAAAGGGCCATTTGACCTTTAACTCTAAGTGTCTTCAAGGGTCGTTTACTCCTTAAGACAATTAGACCCTCAACTCCAAGCGTTCTTAAGGGCCGCATGACCCTTGCGACCATTTGACCTCTAGCCCCGAACGTCTGTGTTTCCATTTGAGGGTCAAAGGAACCTCAAGGATCTTTAGGATGAAAAATTTCATTCTCAAGAGGTTGTTTGACCCTTTAACTCTCAGCCCTGAAAGCTTTTGTTTCTAGTTGAGGGTCAAATGACCTTTGAGGGCGTTTAGTGTTGAGGGTAAAATGCTCTTGCAGGTCACACAAACCTTGAGAAACTTTAAGGTTAAGGGTAAAATGGTCTTAAAAATCGCAAGGGTTGGACCAGAGTGACAAGAAAGGGTCGGTAGCCCTTTAAGATAATTTGACCCTCGATTCCAAACGTCTTTAAGGTTCGTTTAATTCTCAAGAACATTTGATCCTCAACACTGAAAATTGTTAAGGGTCGTTTGGCCCTCAAGACCATTTGACCCACAATTCTGAACCTTTTTAACAGCTGTTTTTTTTATCCTCGAGACCATTTGATCCTCAACTCTCAACGTCCTGAAGGGTCGTTTTACCCTCACGTAAAAACTGAAAAAAAAACTTTCCTAAATTGTTCTGATCAATCGTTTTTCCTGGTGTTTCTTCAATTCCCCTCAGCCAAACTCAATGAAATCCTCGAAATTAATTCCCCCGACACGCAAAATAATCGACGAAAAACATTAAACCCATAACCGCGATAACACAGACTACTTGTAGAATGCATCAAGCTCGACTGGTCTATTATTTCCGTATAAAAAACAATTCGACGTTTGTCGCCACCACTTCCATAGTCAGGTCTTTCTGTTTTGTCCTACAATAGTTATTCCCGTTGGTGGACTACCTCCGTTTGACATTAAATAACGACGATTAAACTCCCTCATCTCGTAATTGTTATTACCATTGCTCTTCTCCTTGGCTGCATTGCAATTGCGATGAGCTGTCGATGTTGGGGTTGTCTCCTCGAGGATGAGTGCACAGTGACTATTAGTATCACTGTCAGCACCAGTGTCCTGTTGTAGATTACTCGTGAATAATAGGGGATGCTTAACACCGTAGTCCTGGTCCAACTGTTGTGGAAGTAGGGGTACATTGTTGCCTACAATCAAATCTTGTCCTTAATTATTTCGTTTGAATTGGGGAAAATATTCTCTAGTTGACATGCTTCATTTATCTAGGACATTCAAGTGGATCTCTTTCGAGGCATTTGCCGTCAATGGCCGAGCTAATGCCACTGTCCCGGTTTTTGCCACCCTCAACGATTTTTTAATGGATGAAACTTGAAATTTACCAAGAGTAAACAAAGAACCTTAGCAGAGGAAATTTTCTGTTCTTTCAGTCAGAAAAAATGATGGTAATCGCACAGTAAAAAACACTCAGAATTGAATGACTTTATATGAACGGGTGTATATGTTTCGATTGATTTATGTAGAAGGCATCGAAACGAATATTTTGAGGAAAAAAAATCGAAATCGGTCCAATAGTTTTGAAGATATTTGCGAAAAACGATTTAAAAACGAAGTTTTTTCTCAAAAACTATTTGATCGGTCGGGCTGAAATTTTCCACAGAGTTAGTCCTCATTAAGACCGATAATCTGACAGGATTTCAGATTTTTTGGAGTTATTTTAGCCACTTGATTACTCGATTTTCTAAAAATTGACCACTGAGAAGCAAAAATAATGGTCATCGCACAATTGGAAACATTCAAAATTGAATAACAAAGTGTCTGCGATCTGTCGAAAAGTGGCACTTACTGGGACACCCTACAATTACCCATGTCCCTATTTCTGACCCCCGTATTTGAGGGCAAGCTGAGCTATCAGAATCTTTGACTATATATTTATAATAATGGGAGGATATATATACCACCTTTCGATTCATTTCGCATTTTAGAGATGATGATGGTCATTTTGATCATTATTATTCGATAATATTACTGCTGCGCGCTATTCCTCCACGAGGCATTAACTGACAGCGAAGGGTGGCAATAACTGAAACATGACCTTCCCAAGTGGCAGACATTGACACGTGACGGAGATTTTCTATTTTTCAAATATTAATTTATTTCATTATTCCTTTGAGGAAATATCAATCGCGAGTGACAAAAGAGAGCATCAACTATCTACTTGGTGCGCTGATATGACGAATTATGGAAAAAATATAATTACTTGACTCTCATCAAAGACAAAAGTAATTAAAAAGACTTGCGTTAAAAAACAGCTCCACTTGCACATCCGAAAAACTGTAATTACGTTGGAGGAAGGATTGAGAGATTAAAGAGTTAAATGCCCCTAAAAAATCGATAATGCATACAAAGAGTTGAACCTAATTATCCAATCCCCCTAATGTTCTCTTTTAATTCCCGTTATTTCACGATGAATTAACTCGAGCATTTCATAGAATTTTACTCATTCAAGTACTAGAGAAGGAATTCACCATTAAACTGAATTATCAACTCATTCTCTCTCTTCAAAGCTAATAAAAGACGAAAACAGACTACAGAATTTCAATGAACCCGTTTACATGAGCTTACAAGCCCGTCAATCGTTTCCCCCGACGATACACGAAATTGTCATTTCCCACGCTCAACTTTTAATAACTCTTTGATACTTTAAAACTACCAGTAAATGGATTTTGTGCTGTACGAGCGGGGAAATAATACTTTAGAACTGAGATGGAGTGGGAATTAGTGACTCACGCGATTCAACACGAGTCATTGAGAATTTTTTATAAGGGGTATTAACATGATAAACCGGAAATTTACTTAGATTAATGTTTTACACGCGAGTTTTAGATCAATATCTCGGGAATTGCAGGAGATGGCGGAATTATTGTCAAACATTTCGTAGAAAAACCCAGCGAATTCGTTAGAAAATCGGATTTTGATGCGGCTCAGCTGCATTTTTTTCAATAGAAAATATTTTAGAAAAAACGTCAATAAAATTAGATTTTTCTACACAAATTATTCTATTGAGATCATTTCTGCAGAAATTCCTCAGCTCAAATTTTCCGACTTTTTATGTTGAATTTTTTTAAAGACATAATGAGAAGAAAAATAGATTGGAAAGACTTGATTCTTGTCGAGGAATTCGTACAGAAAATGTCTCAATAGAAAAAGTTCCATAGAAAGAGGAAATACTACAAGTTTTTTCGCTAGTTGCTCATTGAAGGGGCTGTAGGGGTACCATTTTCAAGAAATGAGCAGCTTTCCATCGGCCCCCACTCCTCAACCAATGCCGACTCAAGTTTGCAGAAAAATGAGAGGGAAGAATAGGTTTATTTTCGAATAAAATTATTTGGACCTCTGTGTTTACGTACAGAGCACACAAGAAAACGATAAGGGGGCTGAGAGTAGGGGGCAGCGCTCGAGTGTCCAAGAAGGGGATTAGGGGAAAACGAGCCACTAACGGGCGTGCAACTAGCGAGTCTACTGAATTGCATATTTGCTATAAAAAAAACTGCGCAATAACCAATAAAATTTTCTGTAGAAATTCCTCCACTCCAATTATTCAAGTTTCCCCAAGTCATCTTTTTCAATGAAAAGGAAAGAAGAGTAAAGCTTACAAAATTTGGAAAATTTATGTCGAGGAATTCCTACAGAGAATGTCTCAAGAGAAAAAGTTGTACAGAAAGATGAAATTCTCCTGGTTTCTCCTACAAAATACTTTCGATCGGATATTTTCTAAAAAACGCGCACAGTCTAATCGACTTTTCTATTGAATTCCCTAGATTTTCTACGAAAATTTGTCGTGCACTGTACCAGGTCTAAGGACTAATCTAGAACTGCTTCATCTAAGATGCCCAAAATTTTCGAGACCTCTTCGACCAAAGGAAACCCACCAAACCTTAACTGTCACCCAATCCAAGATATCCCCGCAAATCTCGTCTACCGCATGAGTCATCAAAATCCATTGTCCAAAGCATGATAAACCCACGGTCCCCTCGAGGAAGTTGAAAAAGAACCCATCGAAATGAAAGAAACGTGCAGGAAGGAAGGGTGAACTAACCGAAAAAGGGATCTGTGTGTATTAAACTCAATAGTCAACAATCACCATGACTATTACAATATCAAGGACAATATTTCTTAAGCCAATGCCAGTGATTTGTTGTTACTGTGTCGAGGAATGATCTGCGGTGTGCTGAGTTTAGTGCTTGAATAAGCTGTGCAGCAGGATGACGACGTAACTGGATGATGATTAGCCCTACCGAAACTCGATGGATTATTAGTGATGGTAGATGATGAAACGACAATGGGCAGTGTCGTACGTCTCGGTCCAACGTAGTTCATAACACCCTTTCCAGTGCCATCACTACCAGCTAAGGTAGCTGTTGCTGTGCAAGAGGAGCCACTAGCTGTTGTCGTTGTAACGGCAGTTGGCATAGCTGCTGGCTGACAGAATGACTGAATGAAAGCGGCCGATGCCATTGGCGGTGGTTCCCTCAACAGCCGTATCTTCTGTATCATCTCCCTAATTTCATACCTCAGAATACCGAGGAAGCACAACTTGGCAAAAGCTATAACACAAAAACCAAGCACAAAGAGAAGATCAGCAGTCTTTCTCAGCCACTGCATGAGAAACTCTTCACACCCATTGTTGAATGGCTGATGGCATCCCACAGTATCATTGTTAGCATTAACCCCACCAACACTAGCACTACCTAACACAGCGGGACCACAGCAACTCTCTGGTATGAATCTACTGTCAAAGTCACTTGGCCCAGTGACACCACAGCAGGAAAAGTCTCTCTGCAATCTGTCCCAGTTATCACTGAACCTACCCTCCCTCCCGTAATCCAACTGCAGCTTGAGCCTCAACACTGGCCTCAGCTCAGCTCTCATCCTCTCAAACCTGAAGACCCATGCAACACCGATTATGGCATCACCAAACAGCAATGCCAGCAGCAGGACCCAGTAAGCATTCAGCAACTTGGCGCTGAGCCGTCTTGCTGCTATGCAACCCAACAGCTGGACAAGACCAAGCTGCGTTGCTAGTGCAAGATATGCGTACAATGCAGTTGGATCCCATGCTCTTGGTACACCTGGCACCAAATAACGTCTCGGATCACCCGAGAACAACAGTGTACGTGACACAACAGCGGCAAAGCCAAGTGCACTTCCAAGCAGCACTATGTTACAGGCATATATCCATAATCGATAATATCGCATCACGACACCTTGACTACAGTATCGGCTTTGTGACGCCGATGTCAATTGAGTACACGTTGTACCCGTTGTAACAGTTGTTGTACGCGATGTTATAGTCTCTTGTCTACCAGGATTTCTATTTCTTCCCAGTAATTCGTCACTCTCCGTTGCTTCACTGTTATTGTTATTGATGTTTGATAGCCCTTGATTGTGACAACAACCACCACCGCTGCGGAACTGCTCGTTCTTGCTGGTATTGGTTGCGTTTATTATCTTCTCCTTGTCCGTGTAACTGCTGTTGTTTGTTTTATTGTTATTGTTGCAGTAACACTTGTCGATTATAGTGTCAACACTCTCCTTTATTATGTGCTCACTCGTATTGTTGTCTATTACCAGTGTCAATTGATTGCTCAATTGTTGGCAATTACCCACTTCGTATTCACATGAGTTTGTCAGAATTTTTTTAGCGTGCGGCGCGGCAAAACGTTGCAGCAGCATCACCGTCATACTAGAGGGTTGATTTTTTGTGTTTTTGGTTTTTTTTTGCGTTTTTCGGGGATTTTAATGGCGACCTTGGCACCGGTGTCGGGAATATTTGGGGTGATTTTCTTCATAAAAAGGCAGGTGTCCTGATTTATGTTTCTCGATGCTGTGGGCGATCCAATTGGGATTATTTGAACGGTATCTGGTGGCTAGCGGTGATAGCGGTGGGGCATGTCACGCGAGGCATCGTCAAGGCACCTCGCAATCGGGCTGCCATAGGTCACTGTGAACAGAGAAATGTAAGGTGAGTTTTTGGGGTTGCGTGTCCGGGGTGTAAGTTATGGGGAGGGGTTTTTGGGTTAATTGGGGTGTCAGTGGACGGGGTTAATTCGGGGTGAGTGATCCCCGGGGAAATCGGGCTACGGGGTTTGTTGTGAGAATTTCGCGCGTGAGACGGACGATAACTTCGGAAGGGTTTTCAGACATAGGAAATGATTTTTTTGAATTCCTTGAGCGGTTTTGGAGGTGACGTTGACACTGTTGGGAAAGAATTGACATGTCGTGGACAGTCAATTTAGTTGAAGAGCCTAGCGAATTCGCTGGAATTCTGTTGGATTTCTATTGAACTTTCTGGTGGTTTTTGGACGATTATATTGAAGTGTTCAGTAGAAAATCTTCTGTGGAAAAAGTTGATAGAATTTGATTTTTTTATTGAACTTATTCTCTTGAGATATTTTCGGTAGAAATTTCCTCGGCTCAAATGTTTCTAGGTTTTTGTTCGATTTCCTTGATGAGATGAAGAGAAAAATGGAATGAAAAAATTGGAAAATTTGAGCTGAGGAAATTTTAGAAAAATTATTTCAGTAGAATGAGTTGTATAGAATAATCGAATTCTGTTGACTTATATAATAAAAAAGTAAGAAGGTTTACAAATTCAGGAGGCGCCCCTGATTCCGACCTTTACTATGCCCTTGATGATAATATTGAGAATAAATTATTATCTCTCTGACATATGGGAGTCAAATCCTTAAAAAATGATGATAAGAGTACACCTCACACTATTCTATGTAAATAAATGGAAACATGAATCGTCAAGTTTCACGACAAAAGGCGTTGGTTGGAGTCTTTTGTAAATAATAAAAATCTCAATTTTTGAAAGGAGGTAAATCATCCTATTAATTTTTTTCTGTATAATAAGAACACCTAAACATACTCAAGAAGATTGGGGGAAGGGAGTGAGCGAAGGGAGCGGGGGGCGGAGTCTTCCCGGTGTTGGCGAGCGAAGCGAGCACGGGGCGAACCCCCTTAAGCTACAGAATATTTTCTATTGAATATTTCAATAGAATCGGCCAAAAACTAGTAGAAAGTTCACGAAAGAATAAATATTCAGTACCAAATTACAATTAATTTTTAATTTTAATTGAAAATTTAAAAATATATTCACTTGAATTTTTCATATTTCTATTAATTTCCTTGCAATAGTTGAACCCAAAAGACGAAATTCCTTAAAATTTTTCTGGAATATCATTTGATGAAAATTTCCAAAAAATATACCGGAGGTTCTAGCTAAAAATTTTGAAACATGCACTAAAAGCTCGATTTCTCAAGCAGTAGTTTTTCCTGTAAATTGTCATGGTTTCTTATGGGCAACCTTGGGGCTTCTCATATGAACATGTCTGTAAGTTTTGTTTCTTTGTGTGTTGTACCTATTTACTTTGCTTGGATATACATTAATGGAGAGGGGTGTCGAACAGCCTAATAAAACTTCCACATCGGTTTCATAGTAACCAGGGTTAAAAATTCATAAGGAAATGATTATACCTAGCTATAATGATTTATTTATTTACATAACAGTTTGGAGAGAACAATATTGGGGATTTTCTGTTGATTCAATCCGGAAATTGTGGTTTGCAATTACTTGTTTATTGAATTGTTTAATCTTTTAATGAAAATAAAAAAAATTAGCGAATTCGCTAGACAATCCTATAGAAGTTGCTATTAGTTTTTGGCCGATTCCATTCCATAAAATATTCTCACGTGGAGCATGTAGTTTTTCAGCAGACCTAACTTTTTCTCTCAGTGTTCTAGCGAGTTTTCCTATAGAATATTTTCTATTGAGCATTTTAATAGAATCGGGCAAAAACTAATAGGAAATTCAATAGAAATCTAATAGAATTGTCTGGCGAATTCGATGGTGGGGGTTTCGCGGGTCTACGGTTTAAGGTATTTCGTGTAAAAAGTCAAAATAATTTTTTTCTATCGTTATTTTATATCGCTTTGACCCGGCTAGGGTATACTGCGATGATGATCAAGACTTTAAATGTTTAGATCTCATCATTCTACCCAGCCGGGTTTTGAACTCGGAACCATTCGCACGCGAGGCAACGAACTTACCCACTGCGCCAAGCCACCGAGCTACTATAAAAAAAAATAAAAAAAATTAAAAAAAAAAGATTTATGGGAGAAATTCCTGAGTATGCTGCATCATTTAGACCTGCAAAGTATAAATAATAGAATCATTGTAAAATGTCCGGAAATTTAGGGTCAAACGGGGCTCAAATGAGAGCTCTTATGTTCGACTACAAAAGTAGAAAAGCATTTCACTGAAGAAAAAATAACCAAAGTACTTGGATAGTCTCAAGTCGTTCATTCTATGAGTGTGGGTTTGAGTTCCTTGGGTATAAGTATGGCATATATGGCATATGATTTGATATATTGAGTTCATTCCTATCCAGTGGTGGAGGTTTACGGTTTATTAAATCAATTTTCTTGAGAGGCTTCGGAGTAGAGTTAGTATTATTGATGGAAGTAATTCGCGAGAGGCGCAGGCAGGTTTTTCTGCACTTTAAATTACTCTGAGTTGAGGAGTTTTGATGGTAGAAGTTTTGAGGTGAAATTTACAAACTTTTTAATTGGATCTTTCCTTCTCGGTGGGAAGGAGTTAGTCGTTCCAGTTGGGCTTTGACGAATTCATTGGGGTTAATTAGAGGTTATTTGATCGATATTTATAGAGGAATTTATCTCCGGCGATCGTAATGGGAATCGTGATTTTTAATGGGAAAAGTTGGAGAGTGCAATGTCAATCCCATCAAGACATGAGACATGACATGTACGAAAAAAAAAAATCTAGAAAAATCTGACGAATTCGCTAGAACATTATATTGAATTTCTATTAAACTTTCTATCGTTTTTTCTCAGTAGAAATGTCCGATGGGAATTTTTTTTGAAAAGACTACATTTATTGTTGCAGTAAAAATTTTCAATCTCGGCGCGCGCGTCGCATGATTGGGAAAAAAAATCCTTTTTGATAATTTTTAACGAACAATTTTTTTGGCAAAAGTAAGACTTGTTTGAGAACTCTCAATAAATGAATAAATATCTCCCCCACTCCAGCCCTACCGCAACACTGATAGCTCGCAATAATTGTCGTTGATCATTTGCTGAATAAATCCATTGAAGACCCCCCGAACTGGAACGAAGAAAGAGCACAAAGATATTGGCAATCAACTCCCCCAAACAGTCCTCGAAATTATGTGAACCAAACAGAAAGAAATTAGTCTTCCCGACGCACTCCCCCATCTCATTACCCTCGATTGCCCCAATTAGCCTGCAAATTAAGGGTAAAAAAATCCGTAGCCCCCGCATCGTTGGAGTAATGTCGATTGCGCCCACTGGAATTATCCCATTCACGATTCGTCAATATTTGTATGTATTTCTTGATGATTCCCCCAAGGATTACGTGTATACATCACGCGCACACAGTTAAAAAATTTTAGCTGAAATTTACAGTGCACTTTTTGGAAACTTTTATCATATTTACGAGAAATTTCACTGATTTTACTGAAATTTCAAGGAATTACGTCATTGAAAATTCTGAATTTCAATCTCTATCCAAAAAAAATTGAGACAAAAATCCAACGGAAAGAATACACTAGAATAGTTGCTTGAAAATTGAAAATTTTCGTGTTCAGGGATTGAATCAGGGCTCGACAAAATTGAGACTCCCCCTCCGTTTCGCCCGCCGGAGAAATACAGACGACACACTTTAAACCTATCTTTCGCCCTCTCCGTTCCATACACTCTCGCTTCCACGCGCGCTTCTTCCCCTACAATTGGTCAATATTTGTTCTCTATTATCCTCCCACTTCCTAACGCAGAAAATGTAAGTCCTACATACATAATAACGACTCATCGATTCCTTCGTTTAGTCCACAAGGTGACATTCATGCCGATTTATTGTGAAATCTCGTAATTGTCACATTCTTTTTGGTAGTTAAAAAAGACTGCATACAAACATACACACACAAACACACGCCAACCCCTGTATGACCCCCGACATCCTTATTCTGGCCCTTGTGACCCTTAATCTGGCCCTCCTGACCTTTATGATCTTTAATCTGACTCTCCTAGCCCTTATTCTAACCCTTATCACCCTCAATCCGACCCTCCTGATCCTTATTTTGACCCTCCTGACCCTCATTAAACCTCTCGTGACCCTTATTCTGACCCTCATGACCCTGATTCTAACCCTTCTGCCCCTTAATCTGACCCTTCTGACCCTCATTAAACCCATTGTGACCCTTATTTAGACCTTCATGACCCTTAATCTGACCCCTGTTACCCTTAATCTGACCCTTCGGACCCTTCTGACCCTCATTGAACCCCTCGTCACTTTTACTCAGACCTTCATGACCCTTAATCTCACCCTCCTGACCCTCATTAAACCCCTCGTGACCCTTATTCTGACCCTCGTAGCCCTTATTTTGACCCTTATGACCCTGATTCGGAACCTCGTAACCCTTATCTGACCCACATTAAACTCCTCCCGACCCTTATTCTGGCCCTCGTAGCCCTTATTTTGACCCTCATGACCCTGATTCGGAACCTCGTAACCCTTATCTGACCCTTATGACCTTTGTGACCATTCCTTTGACCCTCGTGACCTCTATTTTAACCCTTGTGGCCCTTAATTGCAGAGTCTTAATTTTGAATATCAAATTTTTCACCAGAAGTCGATTTAGATT